AATAGGATGTCTTGAAAATATTATATCCCTCCTGTTGATATTTTACTGTCAGTGCACAAAAACTCATGAGTGCTGTGTTCACAGGTTGATGACGAGCAGGAAAGAGAGAAGCGCTCATCAAGTGGCGAGGTTAGTAGCACTGCTTCGTCTGTACAGGTTCAAATCCCATGACTGACTATTACTCGGTTGTTCCCTTGGGCAAGTACTTAACCTTCCGCTACCCAAAGCAGTGCTGCTCCACTGGCAACGCTGTGCTTCTCCCAGACTAGGTGTAGTTAAAATGACAAATTTCCCTTGTAGGATCAATATGGTACATAAGGAACCATATAATAAGACATCAGTTTTAGATGCTTTAGTCTACTTTTTAAGAATATTTGAAACAACATGGTTTATTTGTTTAATGTACTGTAATTATCCATTTACAATCATTTATTGCATGCCTCAAGATTTGCTGACCACTTTTAAAATACAGTGCATTCTGGATAATTTTATTCTAATGTCTCAGTGTTATACAGTTTTCCCAGGAATGTTTAGGATCATATGCAGCTCAGTTCATCATTCTAGAATATTTACTTAACAGCTTTAGTGTCCTATGATTACTTAAAACATGCACAGTATCAGCTTATTAGATTTGTTTTACACACATATCCAACAGAATTGCCTATTATTGAAAACATCCACCATCTTTTCATTGGTAACGTAACTGAATATCTTCATCTTTCATGTATTTTCAGTACTACCGAGGAGGATATGGAGGGCCTTCCTACTACCCCTACTACATGAATAACAACAACAACAACTTTCTGAACGCTCTGCTGCCCTTCATTATTGCCCGACTGCTACCTGCTCCTGCTGCTGCTGCTCCAGCCCCAGCCCCAGCCCCAGCCAACGGAAAATAAGCTCAACCAATGCAGTGCCACCCTGCAAAATATATAACTGTCATATTCTAAGTCATTCTTTGAGATTCCTTGAAATAAACATATGACGGAATCACAAGTTTATGCTCATCATGTGTCTCATGTTGTAGAAGGATTAGTAAACTCCTTAAAACTGTTTAAAGGTCTAAAAACTAACTAAAATCTTTAAAACAGAAAGAATATATTAAGTTGTTTGGCGTTTTTCCTGATCATCTATCATCAATACTTTAGTTTTTAGCATGACTGGGTTAAAAAAAAATAAATTATTGAATTCTGTAAAATGTAAACAATGTAGAGCCTTGTGAATTTGCTTGGAGCCATTTGGATGTGGCATGAAGTCCACATGCAGGAGACAGAATAAAATGAAGATTAGCTGAGTTGCTGCTGTCTAAAGACACTGAGTTTGCCAGTCCAGTCCAGTGCAAAAGCCATAACAGACCAGTGGCTTTACAGAGCTCTGATACAAAACATGAAGGATAGCAGGGCCGGAGTTTTCAGACTGGGAATTATGGGATGCAGACCAGCCCACTTTAAACTCTAACTGTATTTCTCCTGCTACACAAACACAGCATTGCTTTCATGCAACACAGCTTTTGTCTAAAATCTGTGCATTTTCTTTTTTACTCTTATCTCTTATTTAGATGCTACAATGAGATAAACAAGGAGGCTAGATAGTGATAAAATGAAACCTGATGGAAGTTTTTGTCTTAAATGTGACATAATAATTATGACAGTCAATATGCTACAATGCTAACATTAGCTAGGTGATTAAAATCGCTCGGATATCTCCTCATCCTCCTTGACCAGCTTTGTCATACCTTCAGTTCTTGCCATTGCTGTCCATCTTCATATGATTCATTTATAAAAATTGCTAAAACAGTAATAAACTCTGTGGAGCTCTGTCTATTGTATTAGCCAGCACCACATTGTCACTGTTAATTTACTAATCTCCCAAGGCTGATGTTAGCTTCCTATTGGAATTTCCGTTTCACCTTAAATAGTGCAGCAGTTACATGCTAGCACCTGAACAGGCATCTTAACATAAGTGCTACATCACTTAAGTAGGAACAGGACGTAAGAATAAATTACTACATATACACATTTGCAGGTGACGTCTAACGCCCAAAGCGCTACCAGCCCACCAGGAATTCTCCTGACTCTCCCAGTTAGCCACTCCGGCATTGAAGGGTAGTAGTGGACAGTAGATGTGTTGTCCTATTTCTTTAGCTGTTCTATCCAACAATACTGATGTTACAATCCTAAAACATTCATTGTGAAACTAGGAAGGTCAAGCACATGCTCCCTCCCAGACATGTAAAGCTCCACCACATCTTTTCAAACTGCTGCTTAAGCAACATCATTGGACAGCTCAGTGTGCTTGGAAGAGAGCTCTAAATTCTGCTGTGTCAGCTAATAGCTGCCCACGTTGGCTAGTATCCATCCATCCATCCATCATCTAAACCGCTTATCCTTCTGGGTCGCGGTGGGGTGCTGGAGCCTATCCCAGCTGTCATTGGGCGGAAGGCAGGATACACCCTGGACAGGTCGCCAGTCCATCACAGACGTTGGCTAGTATCGCACTGAGTAATTGCGGGGAGGGGGATGGTGGGAGGGCCATTGTACTCACCCAGAAAGAGCGAAGCCAGGTATGCTTCTATCTTTTGACTCCTGGTCACAGATGGCTTTCTGTCAAAAGGTTGCACAAGAATACAGTATGTTACATCAACAGAATTCAGGCCAAAAGCAAAAACTTTAAGACAGCAACTGCTGGTGTAACAGTTGCATGCAATCACCTGAAACATTTGAATCATGAAACAGTTTCTCAGTGTGCATTGGGACCCACACTTCAGTTCTTAATTCTATTAACTACAGAATTACATCTTGGTTTATAATAGTTAACAATTAACTTGGTAGGTTCTCAGTAAGTCTTAAGATTAATGACTAAGCCCAAAGTTCAAGGGATCAAGAGATTATATGTCTCAAATAAAGACACTTTTAGCTCTCTGTGAGTGAAATGTTGTAACTCTGTGTTGAGCTGCTAGTGAGCAATCACGGGTGAAAGGGAAGGGGGGACAATAAAAAAGTAGCATTTAAACACTATAAAACACTAACGTGCTCACTCACCTACAAAGGCAACAATCCAGTTTGTTTCTAGTTTTGTAAATCCATCAAATTAAAAAAACGCATCAACTGAGGTTCCTCCAAACAAGTGGAAATAGCATTTTTGTGGCCATGGTGAAAAGGGAATAAATTCCCAAGCTTATTACATCCTAAAGCTTATTACAGTTACAGGAGTGAAGAATGGAAGCCTGGACCAAAGCTTGGACTTTGATTGCATAATAAAAGCTGAAAGGCTGATATTTTCCATCTCGTTGTTGCAGAAGTCCATGTGCTCCCAAAAGGAAATAAACAGGTTTATTCTTTATTATCTATATTCTAACATTTATTGTGTTAGCACCAAGCCAAGCTAAACTCAGAGCTAAGGTCTGATATACTGTCACTGTGTCCATGCAGGGCTCCATTCATCATTAAAAAACACCAGTACAGAAGACGATGTAAAATGTATTTGTATGATCAGTCTACTGCCACCATTTGTGGAGGTTGCAGGGTTTTTTCTTTTGTAGCATATGCCTGAGCTCAATAATGAGGAATGGTGTCCACATACTTTTGGCCATATAGTGTTTAATGAGACAGACCTGTGCAAATATTTTACTGTGGAAGTCACTAAAATTCAGTCAGTATAATCTAAATAAATGAAACAGTGAAAGTTTCTGTAGTTTATTCATTTTTATGTAGCAAATAAGCACTGGATGATATTAGAGGGAAAGGCAGGCCTGACTGTTCACTTTGTCTGATAATGTAATAGTATTATTAGGTCAAAGGCTGACCTACATAACATACCCTGTGTTTGAAATGTAAAGGTCCAGTTTTTAGGGAAATGACCCACCTTTTCTAGTAGGCCGCCTACACCACTGCACCGAGAATGCTTCAACACCTGAAACTGCAAACACAACAGTACTTACAGTGTCGATGTTCAAGGCATTGTTATAATTCGCAAGTATTTTATAGATAATGGCCTTGCTTGCACAATACATTCCAATGCATTTAGTCATTTGATGTGTTTGTGAAGTGACAGAGTGGGGTCGCCGAGTGCTGAGGGATAATGCTATGGGGTTGTGTTTCAGAGTTTGGTCTAGGCCCCTTAGTTCCAGTGAAGGGAAATCTTAATGCTTCAGCAGACCAAGACATTTTGGACAATTTTATGCTTCCAACTTTGTGGGAACAGTTTGCGGAAGGCCCTTTTCTGTTCCAGCATGACTGAGCCCCAGCGCACAAAGCAAGGTCCAAAAAGGCATGGTTGGGTTAGTTTGGTGTGGAAGAATTGGACTGGTCCACACAGAGCACTGACCTCAACCCCATCGAACACCTTTGGGATAAACTAGAATGGAGATTATGAGTCAGGCCCTCTTGTCCAACATCTGCCCTCACAAATGCTCCTCTGGATGAATAAGCAAAAATAGACACACTGAAAAATCTTGTAAAAAGCTTCCCAGAAAAGTGGAAGCTGTTATAGCTGCAAAGGGGGGCAACTCCATATTAATGCCTATGGTTTTAGAATGGGATGTCATAAAAGTTTCTGTGGGTGTAATGTGGGTAGGTGTCCCAATACATTTGTCCATCTCTCTCTATATATAATCCCTAGGAGTTTATAAGATGAAATCCAGGAGGCAAAATTTGCCCTTTGGTAACAACAGTAATCTCTGGTGCTGGTTTCACTCCCTCTTGACTCTGTGCTATAAAAATAGAAATTAAGTTAGAATGTATGGAAAACACCTTTATGACGGCCCAGGTGTGTTTAGCAGTGAAGCAATGAAGACTAATCCGCAAGCATCCTCTCCCACCTTGCGAAATGACCACTAATGACAAAACATGTTAAGCAATTGTTTCACAGGTAATTGGGATTAAGAGCCTAATCCCCTGTTGTGACACATCACAGTGCAATGTCGTGTAGATTATACTTTTTGAGGGTGGTGCACATGCAAAACAGAGAGAAAAACCACAGGTGCCTTTAGATTCGTTTCATTTCCAACAAAGATAGAGCTTCTCCACTTTTCTTAGAGCAGCTGAAGAGATTCATGTAAGTCCTGAGACTCATTGTATTTTCATTCTACTTTACTATTGCAGACACCAAGTTAGACTTGGTCATAATTTTTTCCAAGCCATTTTATTCAACATTGAGAGCTTTTTATAGGGCTAATATTACTGTAGGACATGCTGTAAGACTGACTGGTTAACTGTTTCTATTGCTTTCAGAACCTGTAAAGAGTTAGTGTCATATTTTGCCTTTTCTTGCTCTTTGGTGACACTGTGTGGCTAAATTTGGTTATTGCATATATAATAGACTTTTATTATTTATATACTATTAATTTATAATGATACAGGCTTCATGTTTACTATTCCTGAATTCTGAACAGTTATTCATATCTCTGTTTCTAACATCAGGACTGTTTTTAGAATAGAATGAGTTGTAGATGGGTCATCAAGAGAGATCACATGAAATGACTGGAAATGACTGATTTCTTATTGGGCCATGTGAAAAAAAAAAACATACAACAAAACATAAAACCTGGTATAAAATTGATATATGAAAATAAAAAGGAAAAAAGGAAAATCAACCCCTTAAATATATATTTATATATATATATATATATATAATATATATATATATATATATATATATATATATATATATACTTATTACATACTAAGGCTACTACAGTCATAACTTGTACAGAAGTTGTGTTTAACATTATAAATATTTGTCCAGATATAGAAATATTACTGTCCTGTTATACTATGCAAATGTTTTAGGCACCTGATAAAATTGATTTAAAATGCTATTTAAATGGGTTTTTTTATAGATGAATCTCAAATTATGTATTTCAAACCCTCTCCATGTAAAAGTCCAGTGTTATTTGTAGTCATTAGTACATACAGTACCTGAACTGGCTCAATCAACCCTTCATTAAGTTCAGTTATGTGCTGCTGATGAAATTCAACAAATGATGGAATTCAACAAATGTCTGAGGGCATCAAGGAAAAATCAGGACTTTGTTCCTTAAGATATCGACTATTTTTCATAAAACATGAAAGTCTGGCCACTTTATACTGTGCTTATATTTATCTGTATATATTGTAATGTTACATAGTTTTTTTTTACATATCTAATAAATTAATTGAGATAGTAGTGAGCTAAATATTTACAAAATCATCATTTTAGCATACTTTCTATTGGGAGGTGTCTGACCCAAACCCTATCACCTAAATTTACACTTAATAATACATGCATTTTTTTTTGTTTGTTTTTTTGGATTTTGTTTTTTTAATGTTTTTAAAAAGTTGTTTTCTTTTAAACTGAGGTTGACAGATTTAGATTTATCAGGAGATTAATATTTAAATACAAAAAAAAAAAAACACATTTGCTTGTTCCTACTGAAACACAGAGTTTTAGCCCAGAGGCGGAGCCTTATTTAAACCACACCCCTGCATTTTAGAGCAGGAAGTGAGACTACATCTCTGTCCCTCATGGCCACATGGTGAGCAGTTAGATCCCATTGTTTTGAAGTAAATGTGTCCCCAAGTCTGAAAATCAGTGTTAAGTTAAGAACTGCCACTACTGAGACACATATTTCCTGCAATCGAGTAGACTTTTTTATGTTTTGATGAAAAATTACATGATTTTATGTGTGTACAACTGCTGAAAGCTTTGTTTGCTTGTCATGTACAAGCTAGCATTTTATAGGACATAAAACAAACCACTCTCGTAAAGCTAAAAAGGCCCCTGAAATATGCATACATTTATATATAAACACAGACTTCTGTAATGTTAAAATGTTATATTCTATTATTGCTCCTATCAAGATTTAGGTCGATGATGCATTATCCCGGAATGACCTCCTTCCTCCTGCTGTCCATCCTTTGTCTGACACTATTTGGAACTGTAAGTATAAAATGTTTGAAATTTTTCCACAAATTAAAAGTGACCAGACATTCTAAAGAGCCTTTTTACATTGTCCTAGGCTTCTCCCCATCACCCATGGAAGTCATCTGGAAGCGATGAGGTAAATGTGATTGCAAGCATCTTTAGGAAAGTGGCATATCACATCCTTAATGTCTATTAACTTAAACGTGATACACTTGGTAAATATCTGAGGTGATGTACTGTAATATAGTTTTGCTCTTGCCTTTACTCCAGAGAGTCTACATACCTACCTATCCTGAGTTCATTAATTACCGGAATTGGCCAGATTGGTATCCTTGGATTACTGTCCTTTGGCCTTTTATTCCTGCACCTGCTCCAGCTCCAGCTCCTGCTCCTGCTCCTGCGCCAGCCCCTACACCTGGACCTCCACCCGTCACCAATCGTGGAGATTCTGGCTAGAACACAACTGTTGTGAAACAGTTCTACATGGAGATACCAAGGATCTAGATAGCTACTGCACTAATTCAAGCACTGTTCTTAGTTATTACAGAAAGAATTTAAATTTAATGGCCCTGAACTGCACTGAGTGTAAACTTCCATTGACACTATTCCAATTAGCACAATGAATAATACTTAGCACTAAGGATGGGATTGTTTCCAGGTTTAATGGAATACCAAGATGGAAAAATCCCTACTTCACACAAAGTCTCAAAAAGTCTCTGCAAAGTGACAGTATTGCATATTGTTTTTCTGAATGGCCCTAAACTGCATTAAGCATAAGCTTCGATTAATACTGTTGCAAGTAATATGATTAATAATAATAACCATACAATCACAAAAAGTCCCTGGAAAGTGATAGTATTGCATATTTGTTTTGCCAAAATAAATAACCTTTTTCTGAGCAATAAAACAATGTATTTTGGATGTATTTTAATGTATTCTTCACAGTAGTAGTTCATGTTCCATTGAAATAACAGTAACTGCTTGTGTTGTGTGTGTTTCTTGGTTTAAAGGTCTACATGCGGTACTGCTTTGCAAGACGTAGTTTTAGTGTGTATGGCAGCAGCAGGGTGTGGGTATGTAATTTAGAGATTTCGAGACTGCTCTGGGTGGGACAGACACTCTTGAGTAATCTTTAGTGGCTAAATCCACCCCTCCCAAGGCTGAGATGTAGTCTGAGCTGTGTAATATTCCTATTGGGTGAGAGCTGCAGGCTAGTGAGCCCGACTTCACATAAAAAGCCAAACCAAGCCCAGAAACGTATATAAAAGCCGCAGCTGTGGAACAAGTTGTACACATGCAGCAATGCTAAAATGCTAAAACCAGTACTTGGATTCTCACAGGAAACAATAAAAGAGACCCCCTAGAGTGAATCTGTGAAGGGTCCCAAAGTAGTGAAATGTCTGAAATATACTAAAAGACAAAGCTACATCTAAACTGAGTTCAGAGAAATGTGCTGGAGTACTCAGGTTACTTTTTTGTGTTAACTTAAACTTGTAAAGAAGACTTCAACCCTCCCAAAAGAAGTTAATAAAAAAACTTGGGATGAGGGGCTGGGTGCTTTAGAACTGTACATATGAAATAAACTTTATTTTAAACGCTAAAATATATTAAACATTGAATATTTTCTATAACCCCGGCCAAAAACATGCAGTCAGGCCAAATGGACATGCTAAAATTGCCCCTAGGTGTGAGTGAGTGTGTGAATGTGTATGTCTGTCTGTCTGCCCTGTGATGGACTGGCGACCTGTCCAGGGTGTATCCTGCCTTCCGCCCAATGACAGCTGGGATAGGCTCCAGCACCCCACCGCGACCCAGAAGGACGAGTGATTTAGATGTTGTATGTATGTATGTATGTATGTATTTTCTATAACTAACAGAGAAACACATGCAATGCAGGTTTGAACACCCCAACATTAAGCCAGACTATTTCTTAACTGTTAACCTTGTTCAAGCTTGACTACCTCGCTACATACAGTCAGGTCAGTTCGACAGTAATACAGTTTTATATATATATATATATGTGTATATATATATATATATATATATATATATATATATATATATATATGTATATATATACCTACACTCTCTGCATTAAAAGCCAGGTTCGGTCAGGAGTCACAACCCAAATGTTAAGAAGAGCCATTTTGTCCTTTCAACAAAAAATCAAACCACCTTGGCAGCCACAACATGTGTCTCGGTGTGCGCTGATGTCCTAGTATAGGCTAAAAAATATAAACGAAAATGCAGACTTACTTCGCTCTGCTTTAAGCTTTAGCTATAGCCGCTTTCCTCCCATCTCCGGCAGAAAACATTTCTTCAGAAGTAGATCAGTTTCTTGTAAAATGTCTTTCAACGTTCAACTGTTCTCCGAGGCTGAAGTCGCTTCTCATTCTCCAGCTTCTTGTTCGAATTTTTGAATGTAAATGCGGCACCATTTAAGGTGGAACGGGACAATTCGAAAGAGAAGCGACTTAATCTTCGCAACTTTTTAGTGTTTGACAGTCTCTCGTTGCAGATTTAACTTGCCAGGAATTAACTGCGCTGCTTATAAATGCGAATAACGCATCGTTGCTATGTGACCTGCAGCCAGTTTTCAGTCGTTGCGAAACAGGGCTTTCGCGCTATGATACACATGTCCGGTTTCGAAGATATTTTACTGACATCACTAAAGAAAACGGGTAGGACAGCTGTAACGTGCTGCGTGGTCATCCATTACCACTGGATCTTATTTCACTGTAACAGCATTTTATCACAGATGAGTGGCAGCAGCGTCTCACATGCTCCAAACAAGAGCGGTGAATGAGAACCTTCTAGTTCACTTGCCACATCACGTCCATTTGATTTATTAATAAAAGATATTGGAAGTAAATTCATTATGGATCATTACAAATACTCTGCTTTAAAAGTACCAAGTCCTCACACAGTAGGAAAATAGAAATCTTGTATAAAAAAAAAAGATGCATCAATAATCGTTTTATAATCGCATCACAGCCATCTGAATCGTAATCGAATCGTGAGGTGCCTAGAGATTCCCACCCCTAATATATATATATATATATATATATATATATATATATATATATATATATATATATATATATATTATATGAACAGTTAACATGATTTAAGTGTAGAATTTCAGCTTTAATTTATCCCACCAATTGTCTTGCTATCGTTATTTACCTTATGTTCCTCGAATACAGTGCTGGTTGTATGCTAACATTAGCTACAGAGCTTTATCCTACTAGCTAGCTAGCCACTATGTTGCTAAGCTACTATTTTGTCACTTTGATGATAATTTTCCACATTTGTCAGTAACATGTTTTTATTACATATATGCTATTTAAACAGGCTCAAAATTCCTAAATATCCTAGAATTTCAATCAATGACAATAATAAAACTAAAAGTTTAATGTGCATCATGATTTGCTAGCTGAGTGGCTTTCTAGCTAGTTTTGACACAGTTCACTGAAGCATATATTGGTGTAATGTTATGTAGCTAGGATCTCTGTACAGTCACTGTATAGGAAAAAATCTGATCACTCAAATGACACTCTGTAATCCACACTCTGGTTATCAGTTACTTTTCAAATAAGCAATCTTTTACTTTCAGTGTTAATTTCTTGGGAAGGTGGGACAAATACAGTAGAAGTTTATGAACCACTCCTTGTGTGTAATGTGCCGACATACAGATATGCAACTGACAAGGTTGCGTGTGTGTCAGCTAGTTTTGCTAATGTCAGAGACGGCCTTCACAGCATTTTCAGAGAAACTTTCATTTGTTTCTACTGCGAATTTGGAAAAGCATTTATAGACCACAGCTAACACTGAGACCCACCAAGTAATATCACAATATGTTGATGTTGCTACATCTGCAACATTCACGGCGTTGCAAAGCAATTTCTTATGCAAGGTTTTATTTATCTGATTTATGCTAACAATGTGGCAATGTTAGCTAAAAGCGTTACTGTTCTCAGGTTTTGTTCTAGCATGGGATTTTTCATCATGACTGTTTCCTCAGGCTCAAACGTCCATAGCTTATCTAATCTGATCTGTTCATAGTTCATCTGCTGGGGACAGTTTTGGTGGTCTACTAGGTCTTGTATGGTTATTAAGTGTCTCATTTCCTCTATATTTTTAAATAACTTTTTGATTCCTGTTTTGGAAACATCTACAACCCCATTTCCAAAGAAGTTAGGACGCTGTGCAAAATGTGAATAAAAACAAATCTGCAAATCATTTAAACCCTATACTTAATTGAAAATAGTACAAAGACAACATATTAAATGTTGAAACTGAGAAATTTTATTGTTTTTTTTTTTTATTTGAATTTAATGCCAACAAAATGTTCCAAGAAAGTTAGGAAGGGGCAACAAAATGCTGGCAAAATTGTGTAATGTTAAAAAAAACACCTGGTGGTTGATTGACAACAGGTCAGTAACATGATTGGGTATAAAAAGCATCTCAGAGAGTCTGAGACTTTCAGAAGTAAAGATGTGGAGGGGTTCACCACTCACTCACCACCACACACTGCATGATCAAATAGTGTAACAATTCAAGAATAACGTTTCTCAACATAAAATAGCAAAGAACTTTTACTTTTCATAAAGTACTGTACATTATGACATTAAGAGATTCAGAGAATCTGGAGAAATCTCTGTATGCAAGTGACAAGGCCAAAAACCAGTATTTCCTGGCCATGATTTTTGGGCCCTCAGGCAGCACTGCATTAAAAACAGATAGGATTCTGTAGTGGAAATCACAGCAGTGGCTCAGAAACACTTCTGAAAACCACTGTCTGTGAAAACAGTTCATCACTGTTCATCAGTTAAAACTGTAAAACACAAAGAAGAAACTGTACATAAACAGGATCCATGAGTGCTGCCACCTTCTCTGGGCCCGAGCACATTTAAGGTGTGTCCTCCAGGGCTAAAGACCACTCAGTTTGTTATCAGTGCACAGTTCAAAAGCCAGTATTCATGATGGTATAGGGGTGCATTAGTGCACATGGCATGGGTGACTGGCACATCTGTGAAGGCACCATTAATGCTGAATGATATTTACATGTTTTGGCAACATATGCTGCCATCCAGACGACGTCATTTTCAGGGAACGCCTTGCTTATTTCAGCAAGATGATGCCAAACCACATTCTGCATGTATTACAACAACATGGCTCCATATTGAAAGAGTCCGGGTGCAAAACTGACCTGTCCAGACCTGTCACCACTGAAGACATTTGGTGCATTATGACATGAAAAATACAACAAAGGAGACCCTGAACTGTTGACCGGCTGAAATCCTATATCAAACCAGAATGGGAAAACATTTCACTTTTTTGGAACGTGTTGTTGGCATCAAATTCAAAATGGGCATATATTTTTCGAAAAACAAAAAAATGTCTCAGTTTCAACGTTTGATATGTTGTCTTTGTAGTATTTTCCTTTAAAAATATGGTGTACATGATTTACATATCATTGCATTCTATTTTTATGTACATTCTGCACAGCGTCCCAACTATTTTTGGAATTGGGGCTGTATTTTTTCACTTATTTTCCTTTGACTTTCCCCTTCCTCATACAAGTCGATTGTCTTATATCTAATCTCCTCAGAAATATCTCCTGAAAAATGAATAACTTGAACTTATTAGCTGTTTTGACTAAAATTAAATAAATGAAATGTGGTTTCTTATTTTTGCACTGTAATGTACAGTAATGTAGGTTTAGGTTTAGTTGTTGGAAGGTGACGTTTAGGGAAAAGTAAAGTTCAATTTACTAGATATTCAGTTGAAGGGAAGCTAAAGTTAGTATCTCCAAGGCATGTACAGTGAGCTATCAGAATAAAGCGCTGTTTTTTAATATCTGATTTTTATAACATGTAAATAAAAACAAAACAGAAAATATGTGTCAACTAAACTGAGGAAACAGCTGAAATGAGGTAAAATACAGAAAGTAAGAAACAAAGAAAAACTTATTTTAACATATTTGTGAAACTAGCTGGTTGGATGTCCCCCAGGATAAGAGCACCTTCCAGAATCCTATGGTAGGGAGTTTTTCTGCCAATTCCTCATGAGTTACAGCCTGCATGTGTGGTCTTGATTGTATACAGTGCTGCATGCATTTATAGAGTTGACAGAGTTTTTCTGAAAACTTGTTTAAGCCAAGTCTTCCTCCAGCTCAGACTTAATTACCACGATATATGGAACCCTCCAGCGATTGTCCTTCTTATCATATCGTAGCTTTAGGTGACGTTTCTCTCAGAAGTGTTGACAAAAATGTCACAGGCAAAAAAATTCTTAAATCTTTTCAGCAAAACTCATTAAATGTTTTTGACTTGTAAGAGGAAGGTATGTGGCAGGTATAATTAACCTTGACGGATACTGATACTCCCAGATATGGATACGCACTCACAGAGGTTGCTGGGTTTAACAGAAACTCTTTCACCCCATGTTCTCGGTTAGCTTTCCTTTGCAATGCCAGTATTATATCCTGCAACACTGATGATAGTGCTGTAATCCAGACAGCCAGAGCCGAGCCAAGACCAAGACCGGAACACATCCGAGTCAAGATCAAGACTTTTAGTAGTTGGGTCTGAGTCAGGACAGAGACCAGAATAAGATGGTTTTTTTTTGTTTTTTAAAAAAAAATTAAATAAATATATATATATTTTTGTTAATTGCTATTTTTTATGATGATTTATGCTTTACATATACTAATACATAATATTACATTTTATATTTTGTCAAATATAACATTCATAAAATATTATTAATTAATATCATATTATAGTCTTAGTCAAAGTTTGCATTGTAACTAAACGAAGTGATGAGGTTCTCCTTAGCTCCTTTCTCCTCAAATATTTATTTATAATCATCATCTAAAGTCAAATGAACATAAACTACATCCATTTTTATTATTAAATGAAAACATTGTAATATTAGTATTCTGTGAATATGGCTGTTGTAGAAAGACATTAGTGACATGGACACATAAAATTATGAAAATAGCTGAAAATACAGCAGAAAATAGCCAAAGATTCATTAAAATTAAAAAGATGTTCTATCAATAAATATGTAAACAAAGTAATGAGCCGTGAATTTCAGCTCTCAGTAACATTATTATTATTCTAATGCTGGTGATATTTTTTTTCAGACAAGCAGTTCCACCTTAAATGGTTTCCTGAACGCCTCAGTGGCCTGAGGCACCTGAATTTCAAACATTTACAGAGTGTTGTTAAAAGAAGAGATAATGAAACACAGTGGTAAACATGACCCTGTCCCAACTTTTTTGGATCGTGTTGCTGACATCAAATTCAAAATGGGCAAATATTTTTCAAAAAACAATAAAATATCTCAGTTTCAACATTTGATATGTTGTCTTTGAAGTACTTTCCCTCAAGAATATGGTTTATATGATTTCCATATCATTGCATCCTATTTTTATTTACATTCTGCACAGCGTCCCAACTTTTTTGGAAATGGTATTGTACAATTCCCCTTACCTACATCATTAGAAACTTTAAACTGAAAAATATTACTCTCGAGACTAGTGTGGCACCACTATAGGACAGGAGTAGGCGTGCTTACAACAAATGAAGCAATGGTTGCATTTTTGATTTTGGTCAGATTGCCCCTGTAACAGAGTTATGTGTTATGAAGTTAACTAGCTATCCGGCTATTTTTTTCCATATGAAAAGTTTCTCTCTCAGTCAGTCTGCAGGGCGAATGGGTCATCTCGGGATGTTGCCTCAGCTGGGCATCTGCATTCCTAGAGCAGGTGCTAAGACAGCCCCTCAACCCAGGACTCCCCACTATCCCCTTAGCTGCTGAAACGCTACTCTTTCCTAGTGTTCCAGCCATGCTAACCAATGGACTGATGCCTGCAATTATACCTAACATACAATTGCCTAATATAGCAGTGTTTAATGCTGGCCAGTCAACAGAAGAAACCATGCCCACATTTGGATATTTGCCTACTCGTCCTGAGACTTCTGTATAAACCGCTACCCGACTTGGTTCTGTTGACTTTAAGCAGGTCTTTCCTACAAATCCAACTATCAGCCGGAAATTCCACCAGAACCTACAACTAGCAAATTTAATGCTTACTCATGAGAGGGCCTACTAACTTCTAGATGTTCTACCACAATGCTAATAAACATAGTATTACGAGAATGGTGTTGATGTGCCTGTATGTCACTTTGTAGATTCATTTAAAATGCATGAGTGTGCAGTATGGCCGGTTTGCCCTCAGCTGTTGTATCAGTTACCTCAGCTTTTACTGAGGATAAAGGTATTTTGAGTCATTCTAATCTTCTGTTTTGGGCTATTATCTCCTTCCCCACATTTACCTCCATTTCCTGTCTTTGTCTATAAACTATGCCTGTATTTTCTAGCTTTTGCAGAGATCAACAAGCCAAACTAAACATAATTATAGTCAGCGCTCTTCGTGGCAGGAAGGAACACCCACAAGCCTCTGTGGCTGCATCATTTGGAATCATAATTATCATACAGATTCCTTAGCATGAGAAATCATATGCTTTCTATGGACCAGTTCCAGTTGTAAACCAACTTGTTGTGGATTTAAATCCATTTTCAACCTCGAAATAAAAAGCCATGCAAGTGACTTCATTTTTAAGTTATGGATATTATATGAAAGTCGCTAACAACATTGCAAACTGTTGTCCTCCTTTGATTCCAAAGTTTCAATCTCTTCTCCTCTTCTAAAAAGCAAGAATGAGGTGGAATTGTCATCTTTAAAGAGATCATTTTCAGTCTTTTTCTCTCTCAGTGGGTGTGCATGAGTGTACGTGTTAGAATTGTTCCACAAAACCTGCCATCTTTTCTCCAAAACACCCTTAATTGTCTAAATTGCCACCAACTTCAGTCTCCATAACTGAGGTGCTAGCACTGCAAGAAACCACTGTGGCTTCTGCCTCTAGAAACATTTCCTCTGGTTCAAATGCAGACTTTTGAGTCTGTGCACCAGGCATGTGTGGTCACGTCTGGTCGAGAGCCATTATGAACCCAGCAACCTTTTCTTTAGATTTATTACTCTGATCATATTTAATTGATTTACGTATCAGCAGACATTTCTTTACATAATGTGTCAAACAGGCTGTAATTATATTCCCTGCCAGATTGGTCTTTAAAGATCATGCAAACATATGCAACAGCAGCCAAAGAATGTTTTTTTTTTAGCTTTCTAAAAAGAAACTTGGGCCCCCACCAAATCCTGTCAGACCATGGCAGTCCCTTGTGTTTCAAGGCAATATAAAGCGCATGGTCTTCCATAGTCAGAGCACTACTTCAGCAACACCTCAGGTAGGATATCAGCTTTTAGCTTAAAATAACTGCATTATCTTGTATTATTAGCTGAATACTTTAGTAATGGAATAATTTTTATACTGTTACATTATGGTGAGCAATGTCGCTTCCTTTCCTTTATGCAGACACTTAAGATTCAACATGAAATCCCTCATTTTTTTGGCATGCATCGTTGGAGTGGCCCTCTGCGCTCCGGTAAGTGACTTTAAGTGATCATTTCTGTCCTGGAAAAAAAACCCCAGCTTTTCTGGTGCTGGTTTAGATGCTCGCCCTGTAAACCATCATGCAAAACACAACATTTGCTGGTTTTGCTGCTGTTTTTTCTCACAGGGGTATAATTTTACGATGATCAGCTAGCATAAAACCAGTTAATTTGGCTCACAGTTGTTGAACTAAATGGCTATATCTGACTATATGACTTCATTTCTCTCACAGCAAGCTCTGTACTACGAGTTAGAGTACAAGCCTGTCCACGTGGTTCCACAGGTCAGTACCCGAGTATTTTTCCCCCCGCATTAATGCTAGCTTTAAAGTTAGCATGATTTCTTTAGCTTTCTGGAAACAAGTTCAAGTTTAACTGGTACTCAAGTTATCATTAGCAATTGATAGCCAGATAAACTAGTAAAAGCTCATTAGCTATATGCAAACAAGTTCTTGTTACCTGAGGAACTTAGTTCCATAAAGCTAATGGAATCATGCTAGTTTTGCTAATAGTGAATGAAAGCTAGCATGATTTCATTAGCTTTATGGAAACAAGATCATGTTAACTGGTACTCAGTTACCTTTCACTGATTATTAGCAACTGATACCCATAGTGTGTACGTTTCTCTGTTAGCAACCTTAGCAACTTCTTTGGCTAAAGCATTTTTGAACAGTTATATGACTTATTATTTAGTAACTGTTAAAATTAATCTATAACTTTAGAGTTCTTACACAGGGTTTTCCTTTCAAATCAGTATTAACTTCACCTATAATTAGGGAAAACTTGTAAAAGCTCATTAGCTATATGGAACCAAGTTCTTGTTACCTGATACACAAGTAACTTTCAGTGATCATTAGCAGTGTTAGCATTTTTGCTAAAATAGTCCTTTAAACAGCTTTATAACCTATTATTCAGTATTGTAAACTATTTAGTAATGTCAGTGTGCTTACACAAGTTTTTCCCTTCAAATCAATAATACTTGATAATAATAAATGAAAAGCTAGTAAAGGTTCATTAGCTACAGTCTTTTATTGTTCAAACAGTACTGTAAAATATTTAGTGAAAAGTAGTATGAAACAGTAATGAAGTAGTATGACCATTTTCTGTACAGTTTATATGAACAGTCTAACTGTCCAGTGTTGCACTGTAAAACAACACCATATCAAGCTAAATGTACTGTAAAAGCATCTTTAAAAAGCTTCAAATCTTGCATTTAAGGGTGCTGCTGCCCCGGCTGCCCCTGTCGCTGCTGCTGCTCCTGCTGAGCTGGAGATAGTAAGTAGACCTATTGCACGTTGCAGCCTTCATAATGCCAGCCATCTAATTTAATTGCAGCTTCAAGAGCTCTAAAGGCTGTTGTTAGAGTGCAGCGTATTCCTGTAGGTATTGATTATGTAAGCCGCAGATATGATTTCTGTTTTACAGCTTCTGGCAGCTCAGAATCGTGCTGGAGCTCCTGTGAGTTTTTTCACTGACAACTTATAGTATGTGCCTTGAGTTTGACAGTTTGACAGAAAAGAATGAGTTCTCACCCTGTGTATGTGTGTCCAGGCCCTCCCTGCTCGTGGCTTCATCAAACACGAGATTCCCCAGCCTGCAGGCCGAGAGAGCGTTGAAGTTGTGAGTGTGCAAACTTTTGACAAATACAGTGGGGTCCACAAGTCTTTTATTTAGTATTCCTTTCTAATTTAATACAACCTTTTTTCGTTATGAATTCCACTATCAGCATTACAATTCTTTAATAACAGCGTGCACGTGAGCTGGCACCAGCTGGATCAAATCCACCTGAGAGTCGTCTGAACATGAGTTTTATTAAGACTAAATAAAGAACATTATCTTTTTGTTCAAAGGCCACAAATGTTACACATTTGTTTAAATGAGAACAGTGGCCAAGACATGCTGCTGATGCTACAGTCATATGCAATATATATATATATAATATATATATATATATATATATATAACATAAGCGCCATATATATATATATTATATTTTGTCATATTTAAGTTGGGTCCTGGTAAAGGATGTGTCAACTTATTTTCCATTAAAAAAATAAAAAATCAACTAAACGTCATTTGACCAGGTTCCAATAACTGTCCTTATTGTATACTCTACATATAGTGTATGGTGCTACTTTGCTTTAATTTTTCAAATTGTTGTATGAATATAATAAAGCACTTGAGCTCATGTGTTTTGCTAATAACATCATGGCAGTGATTTGGTTTCAGGCACAAGCAGAAGGTGTGAAAACACTCCCTCTTGTGCTCTGTTGCTGAAGTATATTACTAAAGTATGTTATTGCAATATATTTGAATTATACTTTGGATATACTGACTACAGATAAAAATATATTCCATTTTCTTAGGGACTGTTTGGACTCACTTGCATAATGCACTTATCCACCTGTATTCAGACATTTTCTTCTGTTGTTTTTTAGCTCTACCCATTCGGCTTTGCCCCGGCTGCCCCAGCCGTTCCTGTTGCTCCAGCTGTTCCTGTAGCACCAGCTGTTCCTGTAGCTCCTGTTGTCCGGGTATACATCTTCAGAATACAGTTACTTTTTATATTTTTAGGAGAATACTTTTAGAATACTTACCCACTAAATAAAAAACAACATTTAAAAGAAACACCATCAATGCATGTTCAGCTATTAACTATGGCATGAGGCAAACATGTTTATTAGACAAACTCTAAGGAGGACCTTAGTTAACAGCTTCTTTACAAACACAGAAGTCCCTGCTAAAGCCTGAGTAGACTGATGAATTAATGTGATCAGTTATTATTCTCTGTATTATTGAGCTCTGCTAAAGCCTGAGTAGACTGATAAATCACTGTGATGATCAGTTATTAATCTCAGTGTTACTGAGCTCTGCTAAAGCCTGAGTAGACTGATAAATCACTGTGATGAGCCAGTTATTAATTTCAGTGTTACTAAGCTCTGCTAAAGCCTGAGTAGACTGATAAATCACTGTGATGAACATGAAAGTTTAGCATCGGTGTTATACTGGACTACTGCTCTGGGGATTGCGGGAGCAGCAGTGGACTAAAGCAGGCGATGAGAGAGAAAAGAACAAGTTATGATTTTTTTTTAAGTAATAAGGATTTTTTATGGAACGTATTAACAGAATTATACCATGAAGAAAACTGCCAACCAATAACAACGAGGAACAGTATGAAATGAGTTTTAAAAAGGTTTTTCCCTTCTGCCTTACCAAGATGTATTGAAAGTGTTTTCTAAATGTATCCTGAATGTGTTACTTTTTACGTATTGTCATGGGATACATTACTAAATACAAAGTATTCAGTATTTAGCCACCACTACTTTTTTCAAAGTATTTTTCCCAGCCCTGATTATACATGGTGATTTAATGTTTGTATGTGTTGTTTCAGGCTTCTCCTCCCAGGAGCGATGATGATGATGATGACCACGATGACTAAAACAGGTGAATCACCTCAACCACTATGACCGTAAACTTCACTTATCTAACCAATATTTAATGAAGCCATAGCAAAAGTAGGCGTAGTAGTGCATTATGATTACTTACGTAATTACAAGAACATTTTGGACAGATCCTTATTATCTAGCACTTCATTCCACATTGTCTGAAATTTAATACATTCTGACAGAAACGTAGTTGCTACTATATATAGACCACTGCAGACCAAATAAACAAAATGGGAATACATGTCAAACTGACTCTGAATATACATTTCAATTGGTTTTTTGATAGAAAAAAACATATAGGTAATTGTTATACATCGATATACATGTGCATGTATATTTGGTCAGTTCTGATTACAGACTCTTATCAGATAATGTAATGTCAGGTAATATTAAATGTATCTAGCATTTAATATGTTAGACAAATGAAATATTTTCTGATAAATACTGTACTACAAATACAGATGTATGCAAAAGTTTGGGCACACATGGGGGAAAAACATAAAACCGTGGCCTGTGCAAAAGTTATGGCACATTGTATATCTTATGTTTCCCAGTATGTTCAACTACGTAGAAAGTGTGCACTAAAAATTGCAGAAAGTTGTTTATGAACTGTTTATAAAGCACTTTATACATCTATAGCATTTATTAAATCATATGCACATTTGGTATTTTCAGTTATAGACTTTTTTTTAATAGTGCATTCAATGTTATCGGACATTTATGTATTCTAACAGAAATAAATAGCAGACAACATTGTATTTAAGTGTGTTCTGTAAAGGATTAACTTTAAAGTAAAGGGTTAACCATGTACATTGACCAGAAGTATCCATACTGTATGGAGGTCTTTTACTAAAAAAAAGCATAAAGGTAGCTCTTATACAATTCATAAATCTATAACATTCATTAAATCACGTGCATTTGGTGATTTCAGTTACAGATTCTCATTTGGCAGTAGATTGTCTATTATATTATCTGACATTCAAAGTATTGTAACAGAAAATTTGTATTTTTTTACTATGTATACCAACATCCTGCATCTGTGATACTCTGGCTAAATGTTATATTCACACTAAAAGTCTATTTAAAATGCTAGAAATAAATGTATTTCTTAACAGCAACTGAGGTATCATAGTCTTTCTCCATGTTAATCCTGGTTTTAAATGTTTTTTACATTTTTATTTTCTTGTTTTCCTCATTTTCAGATGGACTGATGAGCTGGCTACTGGATTCATAACGTAAAAGACAAAAAAAAGCTGCTTATAGTGTTTTAGTGAATGGAGGCATTAAGGCGTACCCAGATTGGCGTATAGCCCTTTGGCTTGATGCATGAGAGCCATTTCAGGTTGTTGCAATGATGTGTTGTGCCGCATTATTGATGTGAGTTTAATTAAAAATAAGCTGTCAAATCAGTGAGTGGTGTATACTTTGGGCTTGGCATTGTGCTGTTGATTGCAGTGCGAAGATACATACAGACACAAAAATCAAGGGTCCTTTTCATTTGAAAAGATTTTTCTTTCAAGCCAAACTGAGTCATAATGCAAAAGCAGAAGCAGCTTTACACATATAGCAAGGAAACATTCCATTTGAATGGCAACAACAATATCCTCTGAGTACATATTAATATTAATAATAATAGTAATAACAATAAGAATAACAATAAACCCTGAAAAAGATAACCTTTTCTCATTACTTGGATTTATTTAGACATGTGTACATATTTAAGGGCTACACAAGGCCACTGCAAGTCAGAAGCCCCTGGTTGTCAGAGGCCGCTGGGCAGTGGCACCAGAGGCCTGGCCATCCATCCCTGTTTGTTTCCAAGCTTCATGCCATCTACTACACTGTAAAAATGTTTAGTCAGCCTAAAAAAAACTGTGTTAACAGTCTTTTGAACTACTTTTATTAAAGTCAAATTAATACTTTACTTGGAGCAAAGCAAAGTAAAAATGATACGGCAAACAAGCTTGTTTACAAGTAATTTACATACATCTGAAATCAACTTCCACCCTTTCACTTTTTACAGTCTACCTGACTGTCTATCAGGGATGCAACAATACTACATATATGTATTGCTGAGAATCTTATTGAATTGCAGCGTATCGAGTTGTATAGCAGTATATCCCATATCATATTGTCCTGAATTGTATCATATTTCTCAATTTTAGGCCTACTTACCTTCTTTACTGGTATACTTTACTGGTATACAGCATTCTATTATGACCAGCATGTTAGTTCGGGGCTAATATGTTAACTTGTGGATAAAGCATATGATCTGCATTATAACAGCTTTTGTTTTGGATATTGTACTTTTATATTGTTGAATACTCTGATAGACTAAAAACAACGTATTTTGCCTGTTTCAAAAAATGTTTGAAATGAAGACACCATTGCATCAAATCGAACAGAATTCTAACTTTTTTGAATTATTATACCTCTATCTATCTTTCTGTCTATCTATCTGTCTGTCTGTCTTCCTCTAATATAATCTCCCCATTTTGCTATAACTTACTATAATTTACTAATTTTAAAAGAAATACAAGTCAAGCTGTAGAGATGTTGCAGAATGTGGTCTGAATGTGCTCTCGACATTGACAGGATACAGCCATGTCTGCAGTTCCCTGCTGTATTATCATCATAATCATAACTGCCCTGATATTACACACACTGTGTCTGGCTACAGGTCATTTGCTAAATTACCATGCTCACCTGTGCGTGAGGTCATCACCATGTCTGAACGTAGGAGGGCATTGGCTAACAGCTCAGGCCGAGACAGAATAAAAACGCGGCCACTCTCACTGCCTTTCACCCACCGCCGCTCATCCACCCAGCAACGGCCTTCGCCTCCAGCTGAATCTAAGGTGAGCAACACAGTGAAGACTGTCGACAACTTCTGCATTAACTTCTGCAATAACACATGCATGATAAGATGTATCTTGACTGGTTGACTGAGTCCCATTCATTTTTGCAGGATCAGTTCTCTTCTCTGCAGTTGGCAGTTGACTTCTACAACCATGTTGGGCTCCATTCTCTGCCTTTCTTTCGTCACAGTGGTGTCCGCCGCACCGGTACATAAATCCATCTACTTCAAGCTTTTAGATAGTTAAGCCATTTGTGTAAAAATGCTTTTGTGACTATTGATAGCTTTAACCATTTAACATGGAGGCCAAAAAGCTTCTATTTCTGCTTTTTAAGCTATTCATATCCTTTAGTAATGTGATTTCTCAGTGCTGTTGTCGCATTTATTTAGTTTTAGATATAGAAAGTTCATAGAGTTCTATTTAGAAACTGCATAGGAATACTGCAGGAGCACACAGAAAGCTCTGATTCCATTTTATTCTTTCAAATTCTTGAATGTATAACTGGTGGGATGTCAAATAAGACAGAGTTTAATTCCTAAAATTCAAGTCTTATTATTCAGGTGTTAAGTTTAAGGTTAATCTAGTAACTAGGAAAACTAATATGTAAGGCATAGCTGTGCAAACCTTCCGTCTTGGGGGCCAAAGTGCAATGCTTTTGGTTACTAGAAGCCCAAAAAAGGCAAAACAGTATACCAGTAAAGAAGGTAAGTAGGCCTAAAATTGAAAAAATTGCGACATTTTACAAATGTATTTTCTAACATTACCTCAGATTTTGTTACTAAATTACTTAAGACACAAGTTAAAAGGAAAAACCAGAATTTATATAGTGTACAAATATGGAGTGGGGTTAAAGTAACCTTTTAACAGGCCAAAGGAAACTGGCCATACTTTGGTGTAAGGCATGTAGTTATGAGAGTAAGGAGTGGAAGTCTATGGAAGGAATGAAAGTTATAGTTTAAGTGGTTGCTTTTTTTGACATAAATAATGTATTTGCAGATGTCACCATTCTTCAACTATTTGCCACATTATGGAAAGCCAGCAGGCCCCTCCGCACAGGTAAAACATACATACTGCAGTCCAAACAGTAGAGTGCATTCAGAAAATAAGTAGTCTTTAGACATGTATACTGCTTTTATAGTTGTTACCACAACATTTCTTTTATATCAACATTTTTAGTTTTAGTTTAGGTAAGTCAAACCATTCCTTTAGTTCTTTTGGGTGTGAAAAATATGTAAAAATATGTGGAAAAAATGTGTATCTGTACAAAACTGTTCAGTTTGATTCGAAAGCCACTAATGACTTCTTCCCTCCTGTGCCACCAAACTTTCAGCCTGCTTACAACGCACCCATCAGTATGGAGATTGTACGTCCTATTTTTTATCATTAACCATTGTGTCAATCACATTTTGTTTTCTCCCTTGAGACTCATTTTCCTGTATGATTTTCTGTATGCATTTTCAGGTGTTTCCTCCACAGTTCCCACACACCGCAGGGGGTGCTGGAGCTGGAGCAGTGAGTTTGCTGTCTATATGTTGCATTTACATTTATGCATTTGACAGATGCTCTTATCTAGAGTCACATTACAGATGAATCTAGTGTTAGGAGTCTAGCCCAAGGACTCTTATGGGTATAGTGTGGTGTACTAGCCCAGGCAGGGAATTGAACTCTAGTCTGCCACCTTGAGGGCACCAGTGAGAGCAAGTCTCTTTTTAGCACCATTCCTTTGTTTTTTCAAACACTATTTGAAAGTGGTAGCTGCTCTTTACATTTAATGATAAAACAGATCAATGGAGTTTGTCCAAAAATGAAAATCCTATTATTCTTACTAATATACATTATAGTTAAGAACATGTTCTTTCTTATATTAACATGTCAACATTTCTGTAGTATAAAATTTTGTTTTAACAGTGACAAAATTATAAAAAAAAAACCTTCATTTTACCTCACCTTACTTGGTTTCATCTATCATTGAGTTCATGTAAATGGACCATCAGTGATTGACTGGTTATTTTTTTCCCATTTGTAGTCTTTCCCATCCCAGGGCTATATCAAATACTCTCTCCCCAAGGCTCCAGGTGCACAGAGCGTGGAAGTTGTAAGTAAAAACATATATCCACGTTCTCTGTATGGCCTGCTATGGTGACAGTGCTAAGAATGAATGTAGTTATTTGAGGTTAGAACTATTTTAGATTTTAAACTCAACTATGTATATTTTTGCTGTACTGGAAAAAGCCACTTACGGGCCCATATCCTACATTGTTGAACTTTTTTTTTTTGGGGTCTGCTTATGACATTAAGTTTGGATTTTATTTAACAAAAACAGCCATAGCTTATTTTTACATGACCTCTCTTTATCTCTTAGAATTAATCAGGCTGTTTTCATTACTGTATCTTTAAGACTGATATATGTACATGAGCTCTGTTCTGATTGCCTATCAAAAAGCAGTCAGGGCTGAGGCACCTCTGAGTGAATGTGTGGAGCTAAATAGCTGTAGGGTGAATATGCAGATATATGTAAATGTCCTGGCTTCTGTGACATCACAAAAACAGCTAATTCAAATTGTTTCCATATATCTACCATATGGACTGAGGTCATGAACGGTACATTTTGAAACCTTTTGGAGGACGATTCAGATTTCCATGATATGAACCCTTTAATGGCTAGCGGCTAGGTAACATAGCAGAAGGAACTCCCATGGATGTTATTACTGCTTTGAACGTCACTGCTGTTTTACTGCACCATAAGTCAGCAGTGACAGAGGATATTTTAATTGTATACCATGAATTACAGCCAGAGAAACTTCAATATGTCTCAGGCTAGTGTCTTATTATAGTTAATTAGAGGGATGAGAGCTTGTCACGACTTTCTAAAACTGGCATACAGTAAATGCCTCTCTAACTGTTTATTTTCTTTATTTTTTCAAGTACTACCCCTATGACTTCACACAACAGGTAACACTTTTCTCTACTTTTATGGTTTGTTAGTTGGCTTTATTTGACCCAGCTAGTCAGACACACACACACACACACACACACACACACACACATACATATATATATATATATATATATATATATATATATATATATATATACACACACATATAGAGCAAAGTTCTGCAAGAATAACTTCACTGCGTGATTTTCTGTTTCCAGGGGATGGGAAACATTCCCGTGCTGCCTCCACTCCCCGGTGTAAGTCACTTGATCTTATCTTGCCTTTGACTGGTTTTAAGCCTTTAATCTGGCTGTTGAATTTCTGACATTTCGAAATTCACTCCACAGCTCGTCACCTTCGACAACCCACAGCAGACTGGCCAGCAGCAGCCCCCTAGAGTGAGAACACCATATTTAAATATTAAGAGAAGATTATATGTTTTGCAACATAAGAAATGGATTCAGTAGATGTCTCTCTCACTTTCTCTCTCTCTCTCTCTCTCTCTCTCTCTCTCTCTCGTTCACAAATTCCTCCATGCTAGGCTGCTCCACAGCCCAGTGAGGCCGATGTTCTGAACGACCAGCCAGCTCAGACAGGCCAGGTATGTATATGTGTCTCTGAAAGAAGTGGGCTGCTATTTTGATTGGACATAGAAATCATATTTCGTAAGTTTTTTTTTTTTATATTATACAAAGGTTTTGATATTTTGGCTACAAATTTCTTTGTATTTTGATTCGTAAGACTAGGTTATGTACTTTGGAGATTGCAGATTGATCATTAGGAATGTTCATATCATTTTGTTTTACAATCAAATGCAAAACAGCTTAATAAAATGTATTATAAAATGTTATTGTCAATAACCACAAGTCTCCACTTTTGGAGGGAGAATTGTTTTATTAATTAACAAACTTTTTGCTGGTCCACATACTTGTTTATACCTGATAACTACTTTGACACAAGTTGGGCCCTTTTATAATGTATTTTGAAATGCATGTCATCCAAATACAGCATCTATAACTCTTCTTCTCTCCACTCAGACCCCCACCCACCCATAAAGACTGAAGGTGAGCTTCTGTTTTCTGAGGAGCACTGTCCGTATTGGTGAATGGTTGGGTTGCAAAGAGTAAATATGAAGCTCCAATATTTCACAAAACCTAACAATAACTAATAATAAATGTTTGTTTTGTTTTTTTTTGGGCAGAAATGTTCCTCTCTTCACCCTGAAGGTCCCAAAGTCCCTGATGTCAAGTTCCTCTCACACAACCAGTACATGGAGCTGTTTTCCTTAATAACTAATGACAGTTAGACTTAGTGAGCTGCCTTGAATGAAGGAGGCTGTTCAAATAATATTAGTTCTGTAGAGCAGCCTGTGTTTGTAAGGGCCTGAATGGAACTCAAATTGGCCACACTCTCATATTCTGCTCAAAGAGAGGCATATGTAAAGTGAATTAAGCGTCCGTTATTGTTGAATATGAATACTGAATATGAATGGCATTGCTCGACAGAAGTTCTATGTGAATAATGTTTGACTAAAATAAATTTTACTAGATGCTTACTTTGTTGGTTTTGTCTGTCACTTATAATTACCGCAGCGTGCAATGAAACGGTTTCAGTGGAAGATTTTATTGTTGAGATTACAGCTGTTAGACCACAGCAGTACATTTCTGGCAAATAGATGGGTTTGGATCAAAGCAAAGCTGAGCAGCTACTGATTATGGAAAAGAAAGTATCTAATTGCAGTTTCTTACATCACTTACTATCTTATATGAGTCTACAGTACTTTACAAAAGTCATCTATTTAATTTCCAGTCAAATTGGCCATGGGAGAGGTTTAATTTCATTTTTCATCATGAGAAAAAAAAAAAAGATTATTTTTGTAAGACGTACTTTTTATATCTGCAGGGCTATTTTTACACAGAAGGATATTCACAATCCACATAATCCCAACCCAACCTGGTCTCTTACTTCTTGCAAGGTTCTTAGGAATCCTATTTTCTCTCTGTTTTTTAAGAATTTTTGGAACTCTTACGGATTATTGTGGGTTCTCGGATTATTATAATCTAATCTTCTCAGAATTATCTCCTGAAAAATGAGTAATTTGTACTCAGTGGCCTGGCATTAAAATAAATGAAGGGTGGTCTCTCACTTTTGTTCAGTACTGTAACATAATAGTCAAGAAGCAGTGAGTATTTGCACACTAAGCTACAAAACAACCTAAATATCACTGCTGTCAGAGCAAAACGTTGTATCTCCATTTTTGGTGATTTTGAGTTTTTGTCATAATCTGAAAGTACCCATTGGCCTTTACATTGTGTGTAAATTTCATGATGAACGGACCAACAGAAATGGCCCAAATTGACTTGGAAAAAAGTCTGGTTCCATTATCTAACATTAAAAGTAAAGTATGTCTTTTCCTTCTCCTGTAAAGTCGTTATTTTCGAGATACGAGGTTTAGTTCCAACAGCAGTGATATGCCTTTTTCAACTACTGTAATGACTTACAGTAGAAGGCATGCAGAGTAAATTTCATAGCTAGCCTCTAAATACACAAGCTACATGATATCTGTGTCAGGATGTTAAAGCACTAGGTACGCGGTTGAAGTTCCAGCGAAATAAAGAATAGAAGTGCACAGATAAAGATTCCTTGGTGCTTCTACAGCAATGCTGCAAAGAAGCCTTTTATACTTTTAAATGGTATACGCATCGAATCTAGTCATCACATTCTTCATCATCTGCCTTTGCTAAACAGATCTGTAAAGACACATTTCCCAGTAGTCTCTTAGCAGCTTCTCATCCATATCTCGACAGCTCCTCATTAATGCCACTAGCTCTGCAACAAAGAGCAACTTCACCTCCCTGATCACCACAAGTGAACTTAAGTGAGTTGAAATGAACTTTAAGTATTTAACTGCCAACATTTCTTTAATACCACTCAATAAAATGGCAATGAGCTTACAGTTCATTATACTTGGGTAAGACTAAAGCTCCCAAATTAAGCACCCAGCAAAGAACGAGAAAAAAAAATGGGGCCTAATTTTTCAATATCTTCCTAAGTTTCTTCTTAAATTTGTTCTTGAGAAAGGACCTAAGAAAAGTCTACATCAGATTCATGGCATGTTCTTAAAGCACAAAGCTGTTTGTACCTTTGTGCTCTTGAGTGTGTGTAGCTTCTGTTCTTACCTAAGAACAGTATATACTACAATATTTATCGTTATTGCGATTAATAATTACACAGTGTGCGTTTTTGAGCATTGTGTGGATATTGTTAGTGTTTGAAAACACTTCCCAACTGCATGTTTGATAATCCAGAGAGTACAATGTCCTGTTTAATTGGACTTGCAGTAAAATATTGACACAAATCATTTGGATTAATAGTTTAGAATAAACATGTGATTGATAGGCTATATACAAAGTCCATCCATTCGAAGAACAAACATTGGACTAGAGCAGAGACGCTGACTTTCTGTAAATTGTTGGGAGACTCTTGTAAAGCAGCGATCTTTTTGCAAATTGAGAATTATTTAATACGCATATGTGTGCTAGGAGACTAAATACGGTGAGTGGCAGTGCTCAAAACCTTTTTTTCAACACAGCGCAACATCTGCCTGGAAAATCACAGAGATGTGTATCCAGACAGGACTAAAATTATCAGACCACTGTTGCGTTCAGTAAAAAGCAGTAGGTAATTCAGCCTGTAATTTTCTCAGAGGAGGAGAGAGAAAAACACTGACATGGCTGAGCTGGATGGAAATAAGGTCATCGAACTGCCCCTGTATAAGAAGACATCACCAAATAGAAGCTTAGCTGGCTGGCAAACATTAAAACAGACAGACAACTAAAACAAACTGAAGACAGTTAACTTCTGCTTAGCTTATCAAATCATGTTATACCTAAGAACCTTGGTTATAATAATGTTTATGTAGACTTAATCCCAGTAATAAATTGACCTGACCCCCACCGCCAGCTGTCCCCACTGGACAGTAATGATGATTCTGCTCAAGATCCCAAAAGAAGAATCATTTGAATCAAGCATCATCCAGTCTTATTCAGTTCTGCTTGCAGATCTGGTCCGAGGTGTGGCTGGGGTAACATGGTGGGGCCCTTATGTTGAGCAAAGAGAGGAAAGTACTCTTGATGTTACTCTTGCTTTGAAGTCTGTGTACATGTGTAAAGTGCAAGTAAAGACACATTTTCACACACAGAGGAGCTGTGTTTTTCTGTCTTCCCACAAGAATTAGCTGCAGAGAGAAAGAAAAGCCTGGTCAAGGCTGAGTCTTGGATACTTAATCTTGCTTCTTTGGAGTAGATAAGATTTGTACCTAGAACTTATTTGGTACTGTAAAGGCATATGCATCAGTTAACATTGATTTCTGGGCAGGTTCTGCTACTAAAGTCGACATTTGTGTTTACTTGGCCCCTCGCCCTCTGAGGGTTATCTAACAAACGTCACTTGTGCTATACATACAACATTGTCTTTGTGCAAAATAACCTTTTATAAAATCAGTGAATTTCATCTTCTTTATTTCTTACTCTTATTTATCATTTACCTGCTAAACTGATACACCGTGGTAACTGGTTAGTGATACAACAAAAACTGGTGAAAGCTTTTGTCTAAAATGTGACATAATTATGACAGTCAATATGCTACAAACTAAGGTCAGCTCTTATCACTGCCCATGTGCTCAGATATGTCCTCATCCTCCTTGAGTAGCTTTTTCATTCTTATCTTCTCCAAACTAGCCATGAAATGCTGGCCTAGTTCTGGCCCAGTTCCTGCCAGCTAAATGTGCCACAACTGGTCCAACACTGGCAGCCCATGTCAGCTCTGTCTCTTTGAATGAATCTGGCCAAATACACTGACCCAAAGGTGCCTGACATGTACAGACTCGGCCATAACTGAGCCAGAAACACTGCAAATTTTCATTTTTCATGTGCCTAGCTGCACTCATTGACCACTTTATCAGAAACACATACCATATAGGTGCACAATGCCAGTTTACACTTGAAAGCTTTCATTCCAAAATGCATTAAACACCTCTTTAATGAATTGTCTTTTATTATATTGTAGTGTCAGCAAAGAAGAAGACGAAGGAAACGTGAATGCTATTTTACTGAATAGAAGCTGCAAGAACCGCCACTGGGCTAACCAAGCATCTGCGATAGCGAGCAGGTCACAACTGTAACCCATGGTAGACACCAACCCAACACACCCTAAGCCCAACACAGAATAGCACAACCAAAACCGCTGCACATGTTAAGCTGTCAACAACAACTTATCAACAATAAATGTCTCTTCTACGCACAGTGCGAAGCTTCCTGAGGACCTCATTGAATAGCCATGCCTCCCGTGCTCCTATGGCAGCGTAGCAGTGTGTTGTTTTATCTGTCTTGTGATGTTAGAGCACTGAGCCACAAGAATGCCTGCATTACTACGGCTTTGCATGATGAAAAACAGAGAGAAATGCCTGTAACAGCCTCAAGTGGCTTATCGCTTTTACAAAACGGAGAAAACTTGGTGCCTTAATAAACAATATAATTTGTGGTTGAATGTGTATACTGAGTATTTTATAATGACTTCAAACATGCCTCAGCCTTGTTTTAAAACTCTAATTATGCATCCTGTAATTAGCAAGTCAAAGCTTATGAACAGATTATAAAAAATGCATGCACAGATAAAAATTGCATCAGAAACTCATCTCACAAAAGAGGTGCTGCAGAGCGGAGATGACGGTCTGTATTGCAATCATACTTCAAACGAAGCACACCAGAATTTGTTTTGAACCTAACTGCTCAGGGACACTTTGCCCACTTATTTTATGCGCACCAGAGATTGAACGGCACCAGTCTCGCTTGTTCTAATGAACTGCACTAACAGCAATCTTACCAGGGTTTTTTTTAATTGAACAGAGTTATTCTAAGTTGCATTTCTTTCACACACTTTCTTCGCTCTGTGGGTATGGTGATGTTACTGTTTTCAGTATGTGGTACTGGCTCTGAATGTGGGTGCAAGAACACAGCTGTCCAGCCAGAGTCAGGCCAGAGGCTTTCCTACAGGGCCAGCCAAGCCCAGCTGCGGTAGAACGGTTTGGCACTGGCCATATTGTTTAAAAAGAAAAACCAGAGCTCTGCCTGTTGTGTCAGCTAGTTCCAGATTCACACTGACTGAAATTGATATGCCAATCTCTCATGTTACGTTTATTGATTTTCTGTTCCACCTTAAATAGTGCAGCAGTTACACACTAGCACCTGTATAGGTTACAGAGGGCATCAAAAATGTTTATGGGTCATTTATGTCCTGCCTGTGATGACTCGATGCAATGAACTAACGTTAGACATTTGTTTGGACATTATACATGACTCATTTCAGCCTTTTTAGTAAAAGAGCATTGTAAGCGCCAAATTCACAAAAAACTGATGAGGATGATGGGTTTTAAATTTATTTTTGAATTTAAACAATTAGAAAAAAACATATTGTGTTATGACAAATCTCACTTTTAAAATGTCTTTTAACCTTTTAACTTTCAAATTCAAACCCTGGCATGCTGATAACGAACTGAAGGGTTGAACTGAAGACAACTGCAGATAGTAATGGTTAATGAGCCGGGATTACAGGATTGAAGAAAGGAAAGTTGAGCTTGGCAGAGAACATAATGATTTCACTGGCCACACTACATTAACATCACTCACAGAAAACAAATTAAATGGAATTATTCAGCTCAATTCAGCTTAATAAATATTCCTTTCCCATTTGACTGTGTAGGCCTGTGATTAGTCTGGGTAGGCCAAGGCTGAAACAGGCCTACCCCTGGTTTCAATCTCTATACACTGTACGAGACATCCACAGTATGATTACCATGGATAGTCTGTAGTAATAGTCTAAATAGTCTAAAATTACTTCAAATAAAATCTTGTAACATTAACGTCCATTAAAAGTTAAGAACATTTTTCCATTTTGGAAATACATTTTGGAAATTCAGTGATGGGAACCAGGCGTCACAATGTCTATAATGCTAATATAACCATTTTATTTACTATTCAAAGTGACAAGTGAACCTATACATGTCTTCTGCATTTTGATATGTAATGTTAATTATGATAAAATAGTGGTAAATCTGAAAAACAAGCTGTTTTTGCAGAGTAATTTCTTGAAAATGCATGTACTTCTCCACCCTGCGTGATCTGCGCTTTAAGCCAAAATTATAGTTTTCTGTGAAGTAGCATTTAGACATTAAATGCTTCAGATGTCTAGTTCTTATCACAGCTATGGTTATCAGTAACTTTCTCTAGCATTGAGCATTTCATCCTGAGCCACTCTGAATGACTTTGTTTACATGTAAAAAATTGGATTGTGCAGAATTTTTGAAAATTCAGTGAATTACTCTTTAATTATAAGTAGTGTAGAGTAACACATTGATATTTCAGTGTCAAAGGGTTCTGCAGATGGGGAAATAACTTTCAAAAACCACACGCTGCTCAATATAAGTCAAACCTGACACAAATTGACGAACCTTTGATATGCTACAGACTATTATAATATGAATATGAATGAAATGCCTGCCTTTCAGTGGTCACAGAAATTGGATTTGAGCTCTTTGGTTTGCACTGTGTTCAAAGCATAACAAGGCTTATATGCATTCGCTTGGAATTGTATGGCCAGTAGACAGAAGATTTAATGAGCTTTCAGACAGAGGAAGCCATAAAACAGGATTTTGTTTCTCACCGCCCTTCAACTGACTATTATCGTCACCAGGCCTAATTAGCGTCAAGCCTAATTACACTGAATTACAATATATTAGAAAGTGCATCGTGAACTATTGGTTTTAGAGCTAATGACGTGTTTAGTGTCAATGATGCATGAGCTTCATTATATCATCTGTCAGCAGCAGCACTGACAACATTAATTAAATCAGTTAACTTTAAACGGTTCTATATACACATACTGTTCAGTGAATTGTAGGCTGAAGCACATACAGCGGTACAAAAAGTCATACTAGTGCTGTAAAAAGACTTACTGACGCTGCAAAGAGCTAAAATCTGTCTGTTATAGTTAATACATTTGAACTCACACTGTCACTGTTGTATGGAGTTGTTGTATCTCCTAACTTGAAAGTCTTAAAAATCTTTAAAAAAAAAATGGAACGACTGCTATTTGGACAGGATTAGCTTCACATGTGGTGCTGGGGTGATGTAATTTTACCACAGAACGTATGTAATGTTTATGACCAACGTGATATAAGAAATCTTGGCATAAATTATGGAGATGGGAGTGGCTATGTGATTGCAATACGTTTGGCTGCTCACAAGAGGGAAAACCATTTACTTTAAATGTAATTTCAATGTGTCATTAGTATTGTCATTAGGTTGGGAATTCACAGCCAACTGTCATCATTGCGGCATAAACTCAAACTGTCATTTTACGTGTTTTAATGTTGAGGGTCGTGTACTAGTCGTAGTTGTGGGACTACATATCAGCTTGATTTGGGCCACAGAATACAAGTAAATCGCTGCTTTTGGGAGCAAAAGCTCGTATCTTCATTTTTGTCACTTTTCAGCTTTTGACATAATTTGAAAGTACCTGTTGCCTTTTACATTGTATGTACATTTCATGATGAATGGACCAAATGAAATGGCCCAATTAATTGGAAAAGTCTCTGGTTACATTTACTTAAAATACAAGTAACATACGTTTTTTTTCTTCTCTGTAAAGTTATCATTTTGAGGTTGTTTCCGACAGCAGCACAGTGCTTCCTGAGTGCCTCCATGCTCCTTACGAAAAACTGTGAAAACATTTTTCCACAGCACCACAGCGTATAATGCAACATTTACTCACATGGAAAACTGAACAAGATTATATAATCTGTGTTTTTTTTTTTCTGTGATTTGTTCTATAGAAAGTAAAAGGCAGCAAAATCTTTACAGATGTGGTAGCACACACTCCGGAAAAAAAGTTCTGCATGGGTTCAGACTGAACTAAAATCACTGAGAAAAAAGTTATATTTCCTCCATCCTTCTATTTAAAACAACTATTTTACAGAACAGTGATAAAACAGTAAAAACTGAATTTCCTTCTAAGATAGGCATGTCAAACAGGGGACCTTTTGACATGCCAAAGTGCTGCGGAGGTTAGCATTTACCCTCATCTAACACTCTGAATTCAGTTCATGAAAGCCTTACTAATTAGCTGATGAGCTGAATAAGGTGTGTTTAATGAGGCAGTGTGATGAAGTTTGCAGTGTTTTGGCCTATTAGGGCCGGAGCTTGACACGTGTGTTCTGCAGTGTACTGCTTAGGCGCTGATTGCTTGGCCTATTTGATCAAAATTAAGTTTACTATTGTCCCAAGCTCACACGTTTAAGTCCTCTCAGCTTCAACAATTTGTTGGCCCAGCCTCTTCTGGGTTCTGGACCAAGTGGTGTAATTAGTTAAACTCTATATTTAACATCGGGCTTCAACTAAAAAAAAAGCTGTACTTAGGGGGAGAACCACCAGAGAATGTGAAGCCAGTTATGCTTTCTTGGACTCCCAGCCATGGATGACTGTGGCATTAGCGGGGATCTCGCTCATGACAGAGTTCCAAGAAAAACCTCTAATTGCTATAGAACCTTTATATTACTTGGAGATTATTTACATTTTAAAAAGGTTCAGACTCTTATTTACCAAAATGGTTGTATTAAAAGGTTCTTTCAGGAACCAAAAGGGGTTCTGGGATGGCATCTCTCCACAAAAAGCCTCTGGGCAACTTATATGTAGTTAATCATTTATAGTGAGTTATTGGCAATTATTAGCAGTTTCTACTTATATAGCAAAGTAGAGATGTCGAACACCTAAACCACCATTTAAAAGGTTGGAATTCAATAATATGTACCTAATTTTGCTGCAGATGAATAAATATATAAATATAGAATAGAATTAATTTCATGCTTGTATTTTATAGCTTCCAAACAGTTTGTACAAAGTTTTTTTTTTTTTAAATTAAGAAATGTTTGCTGATGAACTGGCCTGTAGATAATATTAAGAACTAATTTAAATATAAGGATAAAATAATATGAATGTCTAGAATTCTTCACAATCTGATCATATAGCTATTCATAGTAATTCTATGATTTAAAATGACTATAAACAGATAATTACAGTTCGACCATTAATAATGACACACTTTTGAATACAAAATATAATTTATTCGTCTGTCATGACTGTATTTCAAATATGAGATAGGGCCTGAAGCTTCAGACTTATCAATCCCCAACAGACCTCAACCCAAACATGAGTGGAGGGGGGGGGCACAAGACAAGAATCAAAACCATTCAGCCTGTCAGTGTAGTCACAACAATGGGACGATCAGAGAAGATTTATCATTCTGCTTATCTCCAGACAAAACTGCAGGTCAAAACTCTGTCAAGTCACTAATTAACTGGCTCATGAGATTCGAACGCTGATGCCTCTATTAAAGGCTTTGCTTTATCAAACAGTTTTCACTTGGCACATGTACTTTCCCCTTGATATATAAAACGCAGCCCCCAAAACCACCTTTGAGCAAACAGACTATGTTTTTCCAACAGAACTGTCAGACACAGACAACATCCCCCCCACCACAGTCTGCAGAATCATCTCAAGTGGTTGGTGATTGCCTTTCTTTTTACCCTCGTCTTTTTTAAGAACTGCACACCACACACAATTTTAAAGTGTATAATTATACATGATGAGCCATTATCAATTCTGACTCCTTTTTGAAGAACACCATCATGCGATTGGCTCGTTCCAGAAGTTCTAGACTATATATTGCATCTGTGCTGAGTAATCACTCTACTTCTCCAAGAGACTCTACACATTCACTTTGCAAGAAAAAGTAAGTACATGTTCGTATAATTTGTTTTTTTCTGATCTACTAAGCTAAACTTTAGAAGTTTAGAAGTTGAGGTGACTAGTATCAGTAAATGGACCCTTGTGAAGTCTTGCTGACAGGTAGTGAGGCGTATTTCATCTGTCCAGAGAACATCTTTCCTCTGCTTCAGAGTCCAGTGGTGGCGTGTTTTACACCACTCCAGCTGACGCTTGGCATTGTGCATAGTGATCTTATAAGCCTATAGTTTTACCTGTACCTGCTAGGCTATGGAAACCCATCTCAAGAAGCTCCTGACACACAGTTCTTGAGCTGATGTTGCTTCCAAAGGCAGTTTACAACTCTGTAGTGAGAGACGCAGCAAAGAATAAGCAGATGTCTTCATGGCTGAGCTGTTGTTGCTCCTAGATGCTTCCATTTTACAATAATAGCGCTTGTGATTGACCAAGGCAGATCTAACGGGGCAGAAATTTCAGGACTTGTGGTAAAGGTGGCATCCTATGGCAGTGCCACATTTAAAGTCTCTGAGCTCTGTTTGTTTATGGAGATTGCATGGCTAAGTGCTGGATTTAGTACACTTGTTAGCAGTGGGTGTAGCTGAAACACCAGAACTCAGTAATTTGGGGGGGGGGGTTGTCCACATATAAGTGTAGGTATTATGTCAACTTCACATCAAAGTCTATGACAGAATATGCCTACTGGAATAAGTTTGCACTTATGTATGTTTAAGTCAATAGTCATGATGAGCTTATTTAGAGGTTGTGTAGCCTTTTGATCACTGCCATACAGCAAAATGTTACGAAAAAACCTCAAAGAACTAGGGTGACCATGTATTTCTGTCTCTTTTTCAAGGAACAAGATGAAAGCTCTGGTGTTGTTGATGTGTTTTGTGGGCTACACAGTAGCCGCCCCAGTGAGTAATTCTCCAACTTTACAAAACTCTGTTGAAACTGCACCTAAGGACTTTTCATGCTAACAAAATCATCAAAATGGTCCTTTTTTTCAACAAGCATATACGTCTTGCCCTTGCTATTCATCTTGACAGCCTTATCCACACATTGTAATTACACTGCTTTCTGTTTTATAGGCACCTGAAAGTGGCAGCCAAGAGGTAAGTCTGTAAGCCATTCAGCTGTCAAATTTAGACATATTCTGTATATTAGCATTAAAATTGCTTTGTGGAAATGACTCATGTCTTGGGTTACACTGGTGCAGCAGCAGATAGCGGCCCACGCTCACACAGCCCTGCAGCTGATGGAACTCTACCGACTGTACGGCCACCTGCAGCATCAGGTCAGTGCTGATAGAATGGCTTGATTATTGATTGTAGTCCACCAAATCCCAAAGCAATCTCACCAACACATTGACGTTTTTTTTCTTTCCTTTTATTCACAGGGCATTGCAGCTTCTGCTCCACTTCAGGTGCCCAAACTTCTTCAGAGTAGTTTACACCCACACACTTAGTTTAGCATATTGTTTTACAGGAGAATTCTTTTTTTTTTTTGCATAGTTCAACTATTAAGGTGTAAAGTGATTCCAAAGCAAGGTGTAATGCTCCATTGCATTGATAAAATACACTGTTTTATGTTGTAGAGATGAATGACAAATGTAACCTGACCAGCATTGATCTACCCAAGGTAGACATTATTGTTGAATGGGTCTACCATGAAAAGAAAATGTGCAGCCCATCCAAAATAATCTTAAAAAAAAACAAACAAAAAACAGGGATCCAAAGAGATCAAAGATGCCATCATGGCTGTTTGATGTCTGACAGCCGGTGAGCTCAAAGTCACAGAGAAATTCATTCCTAACACAAACACACTACACTTTTAACATATTTCTTATAGGGGATGCTTGCATTGTGAGATGAATGATGAAAAAGTGAAAAATCTCTTTCTTCTTCCAGGTACAAGCTCAGCCTGCTCAAGCACCACAGCCGGTGAGTTCCTGTAGCTAATCAGCAAGATGTACTGTGTTTTTTATGAATCAACACAAGTAATTTGTAAGAAAAGAAGAAAAAAACAATGATTATAATGAACTTACAGTTCACAATGACACAGAATGAGGTTTATAGATACACTCTATTCAAAAGTTTAGGCCTGGTCAAATTACATGCAGTGTTTATGGTGGGCTGAAGGCCAAAAAGACAAAGCAATATGCAAAATTAAGAAGGTGGGCAGGCTTACAATTGAGATATTGTAATATTGCACTATAATTTGTTACAAAAATGCAATAATTATAAAACTTATAGAACTTAAGTTAATTATCATTGTTCTATAACCTTGTATCTCTACTTTTGCTGTTTTTACTTTTTGCATAATTTGAAAACTCTAGTTACCCTTTACTTTGTGTTAAAATGTCATGATGAACAGACCAATCAAAATGAATAAAATCCTGTTACATTAACTTTCATTAAAAGTTAATAAAGTCACCATTTTGGGGATACAAGCTTCTGTTCTGACAGAATCGATATATTCTAAAAATATGTTTGCCGTCCTACGTTGAGAGGCTCTGCACTTTCAGAAATAAAGGTAGTAAACTGTCCCTGGGGCAGTACCCCTCTTGTCACTGGGGTGATAACCTCAAAGGTACATCTCAGTACTTTTAGTCAGGGAACATAATTGTGCTATAATCCAGTGAAATTATATTTTCTAAGTTGTACTGACTCCACACACCCTGTCTCATCTCCAGGCTTTTTATTTTATTGTTCTGTTGTAAAACTTTAGGTTATGAAAAGACACAAATACGTATTTTTACCTGGAAAAAACTTATTTAAGGTACACAATTAGACCTTTAACCGCTGTAGTACATTTGAGGGTACATTTACATTGTTTGTAACTTGATGAACGAAAAATGTACCTGCACAGCACCTTTATTTCTAACAGTGTACTTAGGGTAAATTTCTGGCAGGCCAAGTCAAACTGTGACCTGTGGGCCACACTATGGGAAGCCTCATCTCATACATGTTTAACAAATTTTGCACATACTTCTTTACAATATGCTACATCTGCTAAATAAATGGAAATTGTGCATCAAAATTGCAGAAATATGTTCCATGTAGAGGATGTTTTTCCTTATTTTAAGTTAAAACAAATAAACAAAACAGGTACTTTGGTCAGGGGTGCCTAAACATTTGCATATTTCTGCATAATCAAATCATTGATATTTGAACAAAGCCATTCAGAGTGGTTTGATGTGAAATGGTTCATTGTAGAGAAACTAAGAAGAGAAAACTCAGATTTCTTTACAGTGGTGGTGATGGGGTCCAGGGGTCACAATGTCTACAACACAAATATAGCCATTTTATTTACTACCCAAAACAACCAGTAAATCTATACGAGTCTTCTGAGTTTTCATATGTAATGCTGATTATGATAAAATAGGGATAGATCTGAAAGTTTTCTTTGGGGACGATTTTGCCCTAAAACGTCCTTAATGTAACTCCCTGCCATGAAAGGATTATTAACAATGCATTTTAAGCCAAGACCTCATCAAAAAATGGTATCATAAAGTGTATTCATAACCATTTCCTGTGACAGCTTTCTGTGAGGGAGCTTATCTCTTCAGAAGTGCCTCCTATCACCTTACTAAGTTTCTTTAGAGTGAAGCATTTTGCATTAAAGCACTCTTGAGGACTGTTTACATCTTAACCATTTATTCATGCAGACATCTTAAAAAAATCTGTGGAATTCCCCTTTTAGCGCTGTCCTGAGTTAGGACACTTCTCTGAGTCGTTGAAGTTGTTCTTCACTCTCATTCAATACTGTAATTAATACTAATCCTTATATGGATTCCTTTCAGGGATACTTGGTCAACTACCGTGCGTTGCCCCCTAGAGAAGATGACTCGGATGAAGAAGCACAGGTGAGCTATTCAACTAGACCAGTGGTCATCAGCTCTAATCCTGGAGATCTACCTTCCCGCAGAGCTTAGCTTCGACCCATATCTACCACATCTGATCCCATTCATGATTCTCTTCAGTAACTCAGCTGGACTGGAGGTGTGAAATTTGGAGATGAATCATACAGAAGAACAGACCTCCAAGACCACGATAGGGATTATTTGAAGGTTACCTGCATTGGGACTTCATAACACATGCATAAGCACCGAGTAATGCATTTAAAAAACATCACTTGAGTATCTATGAACAGTTTATGTCAGTATTTGCAAGATCACATAAGGTTTATTATGTAAGTGACATCGGCTTTTAAATGAAAGTGATGGACACTTGTTGCACTTACAACCTTGATATGAAGCATCATTCCCAAGTAATGGAGACAATCAATGCTAAGAAATATTTTGATGCTCAAATATATGCTATAAAATGCTTATGCATTTCTTATAAAGTCCCTATGAAGGCAGCCCTCAAATAAAGTGTCACTCATCTCTCTCTGCATGTTGTCTTCAGGAACAATTATTCCATTCAGTCAATATTTTTTGTTTCTTGTTATGTATCCAGCCCCAACATGTTGGTGCATTCTACCCACCCTATGGCTACCCAGCTGTACCTGCAGCCCCCGCAGCCCCGCTGAACTCAGATGAAGCCGAGGGTGCAGAAGAAGCCGAAGGTGCTGAGGCAGCAGAAGCCGAAGCCGAACCCGTCTCTGAGGCCCCAGTCACGGACCTAGCCCCTGCTGCTACTGCTGTTGACCCCATCGTAGTTGACACCCCAGTGGAGGTTGAGGTTGGCATTGAGGTTCCTATTGCTGCAACCGTCCCTGCCACAGACATCCTTAATGCTGCTGCCGAAGCAGCTGCTGCTGTTGATCCCGCTCTGGTCCCCCAGGGGGCACCAGTGGCTGTGGAGATTGACACCACAGTTGTGGGGCCGGACACTCATTTTCATTAGGAGGCAATGCCCCTGCGCATCCAACTGATCACTGCAGCATTTTGGCACAAGGGTGGGGTTAGTTTATGGAACGATGCCATGTGACTGGCTAGAACAAGAGTATGCTGGTATAGGGAGGTAAAGAAAATCTATTTTTTGGCTGGAGGCTGCTTTGTGTGAACCTCATTGTGAGAACTGAAGGTTTGTGATTGTGTGGTAGCCTCATGTGTGATAGTTCAGTCCTTTCTCTGTATTTTTGTCCTTTTTCTTTGAATAAAAATGTCCATCTTTATCTTGCAATTTGTGGCCTCTTTAATTATAACCAGTGCAGGAAATGATGTATTGAAATGTAAGTTCTTGTATAAAGTTATTCAATGAAATGAACTGATCTTACTGCACGGCCACATTTTATGTCCTTCAAGCCAAATACCTACCAGTAATTTCATTTAAAACATGGTGTAATAGTTAGAGGTAGGTTGCATAATTTTTTAATAGTCTTCATTAATCTCATAAAAGGAGAATATTAAATGTACAGCCAAAACTGAAAGAGCAATTCAGACAAATGTTCAAAATTACTGCATAGTGCAGTTGTTAAGAGGTCAACCAAGCCATTCAGAGTAGTTTAATGTGAAATGGTTCATTGTAGAGAAACATACTGACTCTGATCCATAAAACAAAGCATCAGGCAGCGTATCTATAACCATTTCATGTAAGAAGTTTCTGTGAGGTTGCTTTTAGAGGTATTAAATATGTGTTCATTGCCAAGATGGTATTTTTGCAATTTGTGCAGCATTTTCTAGCATAAAAAAGAAGCAAGACATAATGTCCACAAAGACCTTCCAATTAGAACAGAATCACCACAACAGTGCAGGCCTCACATCTACATTAACCTTCTAACTGACTTTCAGTGAAGCTGTAGAATAGATAGATGTGTGGCTAGCAAGTGAGACGGCTCGCTATAATAGGATCAGAGAGATCTAGGCCAGAATGCTGACTCGACAAGTGTCTCTCTGCTAGGAGTAAATCCGCTACTCTCCCTGATTCAGACGTAGAAAGAGAACACATTTAATAACGCACTACTGGCAGACCGTGAAAAAGACAGTTAGGGAAACTAATGCTGCTAGACAGTTAGCACTAAAATGTTGAGATTTTGGGACACCTATGCTCTAAACAGAGTTGATTAATCGATAAATTGGATATAGAAATGAATATATGATACAAAATTGCCAAGGAATCAGTAAATTGATGAAATTTAGGCTTTTCTCAAACTCAAATAATCTGTTTACATTCATTAGTGAAGAGCATATGCTAATGTTTAGCAGAGTTCGAGAAGGGATGTCTGACTTTGCCACTGCCATTTCATCCTCTTATTAGCCACCCAATCCTTTTCAGGGTCAGCGACCTGAAGCACTGGAACCGAGCAACGCCACGAGGGAAAGTTAAGATTGTCGGCTTTCTCCAACACCTTAATACTCCTTTCCCCCAGGACTGTCTTCAATCAGTGTGGACTACAATGAATCTGATGCTTCTTCGGAATATCAGCTGGGTGAAGATTTGAAGAGTACTGTGCCAAGAGGACACATTTGGAAAATTTAGTAAGCTTAACTAATTGTCTGTCTGTCTTATCTTCAGTGTTTGTTTCACAAAGCAAGTTGATTAGAAGTTATTAAGTTTTTACACACAGAATAAGGAGCTAAAGAATCATGAGGATTGTTACTGGTTCGGCGACTCTTACCGTGCCTCCACGAATGGATCCAGTCTTGGAAGAAGACTCAGGGGAAGACAGCGGGAGCCCTCGTCCTCCTCCAAGTCCGAGACGCCTCTTCAATGTAAACAACAGCAACAACAATGAAGAGTAAGCAGACATACTTTACATTGCACTTTGGAAGAACTATACAGATTATCAATAGTCATGACTATGACTGCTGTACATGCGTCTACTGTGCACTGCATATGATGTCATTTACTTTAGTATGATGTCTTGTACTTTTCAGGGAGGAGGAGAAGAAAAAAGCGAAAACGGAGAAAAGGGAAAAGAAAGAGTGAGAATTATGTTTACTGCATATTTACCTGACATTTGGCCAGATTGCGTTCATTTTTAATGACTTCTTTTTGCTGTCCATCAGAAAAAGGGAAAAGAAAGAGAAGAAGAAAAAGGAGGAGAAGGAACAGGAGAATGAAAAGGAGAAGGAGAAAGAAAAGGAAAAGGAGGAGAAGGAGAAGGAAAAGGAGAAAGAGAAAGAGAAGGAAAAGCAAAAGGAGAAAGAAAAAGAGAAGGATAAGGACAAAAAGGAGGGGTAGGTTCTAGCCATGCAGATTTCAATTAATGGTTTTCTCACATCTGAATGAAGCATCATTACCTCCAGTTCGTTTTTTTTTTACTCAAGGCCAAAAGAGGTGTTCGTGATTAACCCAGATAGCAACCTTTATTACCAGTGGCTGCTTCTCATCACTCTTCCTGTCATGTACAATTGGACGATGATCATTGCAAGGTAGGATTTTCATGGGTTCTAACAGAATGACACAGAATCAGGGAAAAATGCTGTATCATCATTGGCTATTGTGGTTCCACAGAATATGTTTCACAATGATTACATTTGGCACAACCATGCACCTTAATAGACAGCAAAGCTCCACCAAATTCACGGATTACAATCATTAAGATGTAAAGAAAATTCAGACTGGTTTTTTATGAAATGCTCCATTCTACAGAAAGTCAGAGTTGTTCACAGTGGTGGTGGTACGAAGCAGAAGTCTGAAGAGTTTAATGCATCTGAAAGTTCTCTCACAGAAAGTTATCACATGAAACCATTATGAGTACAGTGCTTGATGTGTGAGACATTGGTTTATGATCATCAGGTACGATTTCGGCCTCAAACATAATTCTTTAATCCACTCATTGCAGAGAGGTACATGCAAGTCATTGTAAGGGAAAATAGTCCCTTAAGAAAACCTACTTTTTCAGATTTACCACTATTTTACCATTATCAATATCATATATAAGTTTTTCTACAATGCACCATTTCAGATCCACCACTCTGAATTGTTATATCTTAGTCATTTAATTATGCAGAAATTTTGAATTCTCCTTCAATTACTGTTTAATATGGAGCAATATGGAATAAAAATCTGTCAATAATCAATCTTTTTCATGCAGAGCCTGTTTTGAAGAACTGCAGCATAACTATCTGATAACATGGTTCATCCTTGACTACCTCTGCGATTTGCTTTACGTGGCTGACATGGCCTTCAGGACAAGAACAGGTAAGGACTAATGTTAGAATTACTACTGTCATTGTGCTATACTTTATAATAATTACATAGTTATATAATGAATTACACGTGAGTTTGCACTTTCCTTTTGTTTAAATGTCAGAAGATTTAAAAAAACTGTGAAAAAATGAATTATGTGGATTCTCGTACTGCAAAACGAGGCTGCACACTGAACAAAAATCATAATAAAAAATCTCCTACTTACAAACACAAATGTGGTATGGTTTAAAAATGTTGAACTGCATTTCTCAGTCTTTTGCAATGAGCTACGAGTGAGAAACAACAAATTTAAATTTCTCCATACTTTTGTTGTTAGGCTTAAAGCCTAGGCCTTAAACTTTCATAGCTACATAACTGATATATTACTTTCATAGTAATTACTGTATGAGTTCAGACCATATCTCCAACATATGGTTTTAGTATAAGAAGAGATTGTATGACTAAAGGCGAGACAGCACCGAGATGTTGGGATGGAGTTCTAAATGGCTTCTGCTTTACGCTAGAAGGCCAAACACCTCCTTAATGGACAGAAGTAGGACTGATTTGTTAGTGGTTTTCCCTGCAACAGATTTCTATTTTTGCTATCTTTTAAAACAGGGTACCTGGAGCAGGGCTTGCTCGTCAAGGACGAGAAGCTTCTACTCAAGCACTACACGGACAGCTTTCAGTTTCGAATTGACGTCATCTCCATGATACCCACCGACGTGTTGTACTTTGCCCTGGGGCTGGACTACCCTGAGATCCGCATCAACAAGCTGCTTCGCCTCAACCGCATGTTTGAGTTTTTTGACTGCTCACAGACCATGACCAACTATCCCAACATCTTCCGTATCTGCACACTGGTCATGTACATCATCATCATCATTCACTGGAATGCATGCCTCTACTTCTCTTTTTCGAAATCCATCGGTTTTGGATCGGATCCCTGGGTGTACCCTTCACTCGATGAGCCTGAGTTTGGAGATCTCTTGCGGAAGTACTCCTTCAGCCTCTATTGGTCCACTCTCACTCTCACTACCATTGGTGAGACACCCTCCCCTGAGCTGGACTCTGAGTTTTTCTTTCATGTGGTCGACTTCCTGGTGGGCGTGCTGATCTTCGCTACCATCGTGGGTAACATCGCCACCATGATCTCCAACATGAATGCAGCGCAAGCCCAGTTCCAGGCCCGCATCGACAACATCAAGCAGTACATGCAAGTGCGCCATGTCAGCAAGGACTTGGAGAAGCGTGTCATCAAGTGGTTTGACTACCTGTGGACCAACAAGAAGGCGCAGGATGAGAGGGAGGTGCTGCGGTACCTTCCAGACAAGCTGCGGGCAGAAATCGGCATGAATGTGCATCTGGACACTTTGAAGAAGGTGAGGATCTTTGCAGACTGTGAGGCTGGCTTGCTGATTCAGTTGGTGCTCTTGTTGCGCCCTCAAGTCTTCAGTCCCGGTGACTACATTTGCCGTAAGGGTGACATTGGTCGGGAGATGTACATCATCAAGGAAGGAAAGTTGGCTGTGGTAGCTGACGATGGAGTTACACAGTTTTGCGTCCTGGGAGATGGTAGCTACTTTGGTGAGATCAGCATCCTGAACATCAAGGGCAGCAAAGCCGGAAACCGCAGGACGGCCAACATCCGCAGCATCGGATACTCAGACCTCTTCTGCTTGACGAAGGATGACCTAATGGAGGCTCTGACCGAGTACCCGGAAGCCAAAACCATGCTGGAGGACAAGGGCAGGCAGATCCTCATGAAGGACGGTTTGCTAGACCTGGACCCAGCCAACCTAAAGCCAGACCAGAAGGACCTGGAGGACAGAGTGAACCGCATTTATTCCACCATGATGCTGATGCAGACCAAACTGAAGAAGCTGCATGAGGACTATGACAAAACCGAGAAAGACCTCAAACAGCGCCTCGCTCAAATAGAACGCTATGCTGGTGAGGAGGTAGAAGAGGATGAGGAGGAGGAGCAGAAGGAGGAGAAGGCAGGACCAGAGCAGGAAAAGAAGGAGGAAGAGGCCAAAGATGAGAAGAAAGATGAAGAGGAGAAGCCAGAGGAGGAGGAGAAACCAGAAGAGGAGAAGAAACCAGAGGAAGAGGAGACGCCAGAGGGGGAGGAAAAACCAGAAGAGGAAAAGAAACCAGAGGAAGAGGAGAAGCCAGAGGAGTAGAAGCCTTTAAACATCTGACTCTCAGACGCAGCAGATCAGTCAGGTCCTTTGAGATTCACACATTGACAGCTCAAGCAGTTTCTTCATGATCTTTTGTAGCAGTAAACTCAAATGGCCACAAGACTGCAGCAGAGAGTCTTTGATGACTAGTTTTGCTGAGAATGCTGTGATTTCTAATCAGTGCATGGAGGCAGCTTTAAATGTATGCAGGGCTGTGCAAAATGCTTTTATACTGTATTAAGCATCTGATAAAAATATTGCATGGTTCTATGAGTATTTAGCATTGAAGTAGCTGCTCACCCTAAAACCTTGTTCAATCTTATAATTTTGCTCATTATACAATATACTATATTTCTGTAACATAAAAAAAAACTTGATTTTGCTCTTCACCCACTAATTACACTATTAGTCAGAGGTTTGCAAACACCGAACTGACATTGTATTTACAACTCCGTTTCTAAAAAAGTGTAAAATGTATGTAAATGTAATTAAAAAAGAATGCAGTGATGTGCAAATCATGAAGACCTCATATTTAATTCACAGTAATACAAAGACAACATATTATAGGCTGAGAAATTGTATTGTTTTTTGAAAAATATATGCCCAATTTGAAATTGATGCCAGCAACACATTTAAAAAAAGTTGGGACAGTGGCAACAAAAGACTGATAAAGTTATGTAATGCTATCAGAATTACCTGGTGGAATGTCTCTAACAAATTAGGTTATTTGGCAATTAGGTCAGTAACATGACTGGGTATAAAAAGAGCATCCCAGACAGTCTTTCAGAAGATGGGGAGGGGGTCACAATTCTGTAAAAGACAGCATGGGTAACAATTCACAAATAAGGTTGACTTAAAAACGTGTGGATTTCACCATCATGTGTGCAGGGGACAAGATGCCCCCCCTCCCCAAGTGGTTTCTGTGTAATTTCTGGAAATTTGGGGGCCCCAACCAACATCATACTTTGTCTGCCTCCCCCCACCACCTACCCCAGTTATATTTTTGTTGGTAGGTATAGAAATAACGAGTACTTAATTGATTTTGATAAAGAAAAAACAAGAATTTACAAAAAAATTGAACATACTTTTGAAGGTACATCCTCATGAGCTTTAAGTCACTACAAAAAAATCAACGTGTGGATCTTCTTCAGTCTTGTTGGAAAAGCATCTCAGGCTTCTCATGCTGCTTAAGACAGTGATCAAGACTGTGTAAAGTTGCGTAAAGACAAACTGGGCCTATTGCTAAAAGAAACTATGATAGAATTTAACACTTTTTGAGTCTCTATGTAATTCTATGTGTATTATTTCATAGATTTGATGTCCTCACTGTTTTTAATAAATGTGTAAAATAGTACAAATACAAAACGAACTCTTCTTTGAGTAGGTGTGTCCAAACCTTTGACTAGCAATGTAAATGAGATCCTCATGAATAGTCTGCTATATACCATTCCACCTCTTTTCCATAGACTGGCACTTATATTTGCCATTTGTTATGCAGTCTACAAGGCCCTGATGGTTCCCTGCCTATTCTGTTTTCTGAACACTGATGTGAAACATGAATTTAAATCTAAATTTGCATGAATTTTGCATCTAAATGCAAAAAAATTTAAATTGTATTCTGAATCTTTATGAAGATGCTGGCTCCAGATGACTGGAGTTGTAGGAATAATTGTAATTCATTTGGATTTATTTTCTGCTTTGTAAAGAAACACTGAGTTTTTGGAAGCAAGTTTTGTTTTCAGAAAAGAAAAGAAAGAAAGTAAAAAGTTTTACAACTTGTATGCTAAAGGGGAGGCTGGCAGAAATGGCAGAACCATAATGTGTCTCAGATTTAATATAGATTTTCTCTTGGGATTGTTCATGCTATGCAGCCATCATAGTTAAACATTTGCATAAATGTGTTCAAATCAATAAGGACCAGTTTTTTCAGCATAAAGATGGCATTTAATTCTGAGCCATTTAAAATTTACCCTGCTTGTCTAAGTCAAAACTGCAGTTTGGAACATTTGCATAGTTACTTAATCAATGACAATGCCTGTCAGAATCAGGCCCATCATCAGGGGGTCAGTTACCCACCAATCAACATGCCTCACTAAGCCCACTATCTTGTGCATGTGAAACTCTACTTCGTAGTTACTTTTTCTCTGCTATGTGCATGCACTGCACCCCAACACCACCCCACCCCCATTTTTTGGATTTCAAAAGCCACACTCATGATTTAGTTCTGGCAACAGGCCTGATTAAAATATTCATCGCTGTAATGAAGAAATTATAACCAAGACTTTTCAGTTTGGGCTGTTGAGGCTACTGTGCATGTTTTTTCATTCAATTCAGAGCAGGTGGGGAAGTTCTGCCTCCTTTGGATTCTTTATTATAACCTTTTTTATATATCAGCCATCATATATCCAACATTCAATAGTTCTCTTTTTTATCGTTGTTTCTTGATTACATACTTCAGATTTCTTGCGTATTCGTGAATGGCTCAGATCAATTTCCAGTTTAATCCCAAAGCCGCCTTGATTATGCCTTATAATCAAATACATGTAAGATACTACAGGCTGTATTTAGTGTCAACAGTGTTTTATGCCATTTCTACCTACAGCGTTCCTCTAAAATACATGTTTGAAAGCATTTTCTGAGAGAAAATGGAATATATTGGTGAAAATACTATCAGAGCACACAAGTAATCCTGGGTTCTAGCTCCAGTTTAGTTTGTGTGAAAACACAGAATAAATAAAAAGAATCAGCAGATTCAACACACTTTACTATTAGAGACCACATTTCACTTAATTTCCAGTCAAAGCAGCCAATAAGCACTAAGTTATTCGTTTTTTAGTGTCTGGAAAAAAAGCAGAAAACATATTGAACAGACATTTAAACAGAAGCCTGAACATACATACATACATCATCTAAACCGCTTATCCTCCTGGGTTGCGGTGAGAAGCCTGAACCACCTAAAGCTGGACCAGAATGACCTGGAGGACAGAGTGAACTGCATTATTATCGCTCAAATAGAGCACTATGCTGGTGAGGAGGTAGAAGTGGATGAGAAGGAGCAGAAGGAACAGCAGGAGGAAGAGGCAGCACCAGAGCAGGAAAAGAAGGAGGAAGAGACCAAAGATGAGCAGAAAGTTGAACAGGAGAAGCCAGAGCCTGATTTTCTCCTCTCTCTCAAAGATGAGTTTATCTGTAATATATCATGTACTGTTTATCTTATGTTGACGGTTTAGATCCAATGTGTCAAACACAAGGCCCGCAGGCCAAGTGAGGCCTGTGACACAGGCCTATTCGGCATGCAAAATGATTTACATTTTCTATAATTATTAGCCTGTTTCACTCTGAGATGCACTACAATCCCAGCATGCACTGCAACATAGTGTGCAATCTGACCCCATTCCCCCAACAACAATCGATGGGTCAGCGGTTACACAAAAAGAAAAGATTCCTGGTGTGTAGTTCAAGCAAATAGGCAGTTAGAAAAAAACTACCTAACTATTAACTTTTATTTATAATTATTTAATTTGATTTATTTTAATTATTTTAAGTATTCAGTGCCTATTTTGCTGTTGAGGTTTTGAACAAACAGTGGCCCATCTCAAGTGAGATTTTTTGACATGGCCCATTTAGTGTTTGAGTTTGACAACCCTGGTTTAGGTGGTCGACCAGGATTGAATGGCTGTTAGGGGTTTTTTCCACTTATTCTGCTTTGTTCTTCTTCTTCGTTAACCAAAACTGTCCTATATGGATTTCTGATATACAGTAACGTATGGGTTTCACATATATAACATATGATAGCATTTATTGATTTCCCTTATATCCAACATGTATTAGTCACATATGGACATACATGCCATTTTCAGATATGAGACATATATTTCAGCCATATCACCATGTAAAAATCATCACTATATAGATGACATATATTACTAATTTGTGCTAACTGCATATATATATATACATATACATGTATGCCTGACCGTAACTATATGTGGCTATATGGCCATATGTCAGATTTCTTTATGGGGTGTATGTGGTAGCCTTAACCTCAATACAAAACCTGGTGCTACTTTAAGAGATTATTAAAAATGTAACATCTGCAGATTATCTGTAGTGGCCTATACGGCACTAAACAAATAACATGAGAAAGAGAAACATGCATCCAGGCAAAAGAAGTATTGAGGAACCTTTATCTTCCTACTTGCCATCTTGCCTATGAGCCTTTTCACTTTAAGCCAATTAAGATTATACACTGCATAATAGCTTCGAGGCATTTTATGCCACTAAAGTGAAGAATGAAATGACTGTGGATGCTGCACCTGATTAGTGGCTACAGGTTTTCAATTAAGATGTCAAGACAGCGCGATTAAAACGCCTCTCTATCTCATGCTCTGCCGTCATTTCTATTATTCCTCTTACCGTGTGAAGCAGTCTCAGCTGAGCATTTATTCAGAGGTGCTACATAATGGATGGAGCCGGTTTGATCCAATTTCCCGGAAAATAGGATCTTCTAATTCAAAGCTCGCCTGCTAGGCAGTCCCTGTACCTGCTCCAGCAATTCCAGCATTTAACACTGCGCCTGATCTAAAGGGCCTTTTTGGATTTATCGCGACTGCAGTTTATAGCTGGAGAACATTTTTAAGTTGCGAGCTGTTTGTACTATCAGCAACGCTCCTCAGAGGAAAAGGGCATTCATCCTGCCAAGTGCTTATGTGAAGCTTTGAGGAGACGCACCTTTTGACATTTGAGAGAACTCCCTACAGCAGTGTCTGATCACCTGCTCAAGAAGTACAGCATTGCCTCTGGAGCTAGAAATAGAAAATGTCTACTTGTTTCCTTCTGCTATGCCTGAAAGCTGTAAGTAGCTAACACATGTTTGGGCTGCTTTTGTCTTCTGAAAATCTTTAGGGTGATGCCTTTTTAGGTTCTAGGTTCTAGGGTTAACCAAGCAAGTATGAGTTACAAAATCCAAAGTTCTGGGTAATTAACCCTTGTGTGATGTTTGGGTCTGTGGGACCCGTTTTTAATGTTTACCAAAAGAAAAATGATGCCATTTTTTATTATTTTAACCTCAAACTCATTTTCTGTGAAGAACCTATAAACGAATATATTTTCATTGATTTCACACTGTGCACCCCCTA